GTGGGCTATTTGTAATAAATAGTAAGGAGAAATAATAAACAGCACAATAACTGTTGGCAACGTGAATACCACGGTTACATGCATGACTCGCTGCGCTGGTAACGTTTCTGTCACATATCGCAAATTGACAGCAGTCGAATGTGTTGATTACTATCTGCTGACGTGTTACAGCAGTCAAATATGTTGCTTACTTTTTGCTGACGTGTTACAGCAGTCAAATGTGTTGATTACTATTTGCTGACGTGTTACAGCAGTCAAATGTGTTGATTACTATTTGCTGACGTGTTACAGCAGTCAAATGTGTTGATTACTATCTGCTGACGTGTTACAGCAGTCAAATGTGTTGATTACTATCTGCTGACGTGTTACAGCAGTCAAATATGTTGCTGACGTGTTACAGCAGTCAAATGTGTTGATTACTATTTGCTGACGTGTTACAGCAGTCAAATATGTTGCTTACTTTTTGCTGACGTGTTACAGCAGTCAAATGTGTTGATTACTATCTGCTGACGTGTTACAGCAGTCAAATATGATGCTTAATTGCTGAAGTTAATTTGTTCATGATCATGCCAATATATTCTGTGACGCTGTTACCGTGGAAATCTGTGACATCAAATTCACTTCACCTAGGGGACCTAAAATCCAATACAGTTTTATATAATATTTTTGAGTTACAGCCCCTGTCCCACGCTTTTGTTTTGTTTTCTTTCAGGTCAGTATTTATCTCCGGTGGCCACACACATGTCAGAAATTCTACTGGCCAGACAGAAATGTGATTTCTGTCCGAGATATGTCAGTTAAGTGATTGCGTATATTCTTGCACGCGTTTGTGGTATTGCAAGTTTGCGTATGTGCTGATGAAGGCTCTCGCGCCGCAACATTGAATTTACGTTTACGATAATGTGAAGCTGATTAGCTCGACTTTAGTCTGGTTTAATCTCTTTTCGTGAGATGCCGTCACGTGTCACCGTTACTGTGAGTTGCTGAATCTGCTTATTTTGAAAGGTTGCATGTTGTAGGTTGGATCACTGTTCAGGACGAGCTCAGCTACAGCCTTGCCAACAGTTGGTGACAGTTTGAATCCATGACCTGTGGAGAATGTTCAAAACAGGTCGTGGACAACGGAAGGAAACATTCACAGGCATAGATAATGGCTGTAGTGGCTGTAGCAGTCTGTTAGCCACACTGTTAGCCACACACTAATGGTTCTAGCAACTGTAGAAGCATAATAACCCTACTGTCAGCCACACTGTTAGCCACTCATAAATAGTTCTAGCAACTGTGGCAGCCTATTAACCACACTGCTAGCCACACTGTTAGCCACACACTAATGGTTCTAGCAACTGTAGAAGCATATTAACCCCACTGTCAGCCACACTGTTAGCCACACATAAATAGTTCTAGCAACTGTGGCAGCCTATTAACCACACTGTCAGCCACACTGTTAGCCACACACTAATGGTTCTAGCAATGGTGACAGTCTATTAACCACAATGTTAGCCAAACACTAATGGTTTTAGCAACTGTAGCAGCCTATTAACCCCACTGTCAGCCACACTGTTAGCCACACACTAATAGTTCTAGCAATTGTGACAGCCTATTAACCAAACTTTTAGCCATACACTAATGATTCTAGCAACTGTGGTAGCCTATTAACCACACTGTTAGCCACAATAATGGTTCTAGCAACTGTGGTAGCCTATTAACAACACGGTTAGTCACACACTAATGATTCTAGCACCTGTTTTGGTCTATTAACCCCACTTTTAGCCAAACACTAATGGGTACAGTCCGTATTGCATAGTTAGTGGATTTCAAGCTGTATGATAGACATGGCCAATAAAGACACATTTTTAAGAGCGCCTAGTTGGTCACGTTCTTAGTACACTTGTTTCTATAGCAAGGCGCACACGCCATATAGGGATGACAGGCTCGATTCCCGAAACAGTAACTATTGCTTTCATTGTTATGCCGTCTAGTGTGTCCTTCTATATTTCTACTTCTATCTATGAGTACCCCATCAGTGCATTGTCTGTATGTGTGTGTGTATATATATATATATATATATATATATATATATATATATATATATATATATATATATATATATATATATATATATATATATATATATATATATGTGTGTGTGTGTGTGTATGTATGTATGTGTAAAGCCACAAAAATGGCTCTAGCAACTCTGGCAGGCTAGTAGCCAATTTCTAAGCCAAGGAATCATTTCAGAACCTTCCGTATACTAGTCAAATTTGTATGCACCAATCAGAACTTGGCGGGTGTCACGATACGATCTCAGTGGTTCCAGAAGTTAGAACTTGTAATAAGTTCTTCTGGTTCTAAAGAGAGAGGATTATATTTACTCTGCCCTTTACCCTAATATTACTGTAAACCGTATTGATTTAAATGTTTCCAGTCCTTAGTCCAGACAAAGCGACTGAATCTTGGGTAATGTTACGCAATTACACCGGGGCTAGAGAATTCCCTTTCACATGCCCATGTCATAAATGTTATCTCCTGACCACACTGTAGAGGCCAGCGAACGGGGAACTTAGCATCACACCTGAGCTGGACCGTAGGTCATAAAGATTACCTAACACGAATTGAGCGGACTCTAGACATAGAGGCGACGAGAAGTTTAAAGTTTAACACGTCAGTAATTCTGGAGAGAACAGGTGTTTGGCAATTAGGAATGTTTTATCTTGGTCAAGGTCGTACTGTAGGCCGTTCACTGTGAGTGACAGGTCACTGGTTAGCCAAGTTGATCTGATAGTTACCTCAGAAGCGGGGCTTAAGTCATCATCTTGAGGGTTGGGTAAAACCCGGTAAAGGGAGGAGTTTAATTTGGTCAATAGATTGTTACTTATACTGCAAGCATTGTAGATTTACCTCACAGTGAAGCCAGCAGGCCACAGACTCAGACCTAGCGTGGAAAAGTATTTTCTGACTGGTTGAGTCGTGTTTGGCATGTGCTGGAAAGTTCCCAGGTGAATATTAATATTAATCTTGTATACTTAGGTTAGGGAGTTAAGCTTAGTCTATACTATCTTTTCCTAATTTGTCTGCACATTCTGCTTGAAATAGTTCTTTGTGAGTATTCAGTATCTCAAGTTAGGGAACTGCTAAACTATTCCTATTTCCTGTATGTTTGTGTCACATGTTTTTCAGTGTATGTTTTCATGTGTATAAAATAAGATGTGAACAATGGCATTTGCTATAATGAAATGTAATTATATTGTTTCCATGATGCCAAAATATGTGCAGGGATGCTGCTACGTTTTGTGTGCCCACCATGTGCTCACTTAATGTGTTCACCTAAACAGGGGATTTATAACCCCAGGGGAAGAATGATGGGTGTATAGAATTCACGGTCACTGAAAGATAATATTCAGGACAGTGTGCACATATAAATTGTTTGCGTGTTCAGCACAGAACCTGCGCCACATGTTTATGTCAAATCAATGTCAGCCAGTTGGAAGTCTGAATGAAGACGGACAACAGACTTAGAAAGTCAACTATCATGACATAGCATGAGAGAGGAAGGCAGGATATGTGACGCCCATGTAAGACAAAAGACCTTCAGACTAGACTGGAGAGGATGTGGAATATGAGGAGAAGTGATGGGATATATTTTATTATTCTATGTTATATTAATTGATACATGTATTCTTAGTGTAAGTCAAGATACTACACGTATGTGTTTTGTTTCCATGATTACAGCGCCCATGTGACGATCAGTCCATGAAGTAGACTACATTGTGTTAGACTCGGCCAACTGGGAACGAGGTGGAGAACGACCAGGAGAACTGGGAGGAAAAGGTGGAAGAACTTGACAGTACCCACGGCTGTCAGAGGTTCTATGATATTTAAGTTACGTCTCACCATGTGTTATGGATGTAAACGTATCACCACCATTATCCATTCACTCTAATCTTAGGTGCTCAGTTATCTAGCTGAAGCCCCTCATTATCACCATACCATCACTATCTATTATACAATAATGATGACTAATGTCATACTCTGATTGCTAGGTTAATAAATCAAACATATGGTCTTATCCTGCATCAGTTTTTGTAATTCCAAATGTCTGTTCTTACATGTTTAATTAAACTGTTAAGATAGAATACCATTTGGTGGGAGCTCAATTAATAATATAATAATTCTTTAATTATTCATAATACCACCGGGAGAAGGTAGATGACGGAGGAATCATTTGCCCTGTCTAATAATTCATTAAGTATAATGCTACAGACATCTAAAATTCCTTGCCCTCTCTTGTGGGTACCAAGTTCAGCTAATGTTAATGTACTTAACGAGCCAATATGGTTGTTTTCTTGGGTATCCAGGACTTTGTCTGAGAGCAAAATAGCTCAGATTTTAGTTCCATTAATCTGGTGGAGGGAATGTGTTGAGAGGAACATCCCTACTCAACAACATAAACATTTAAACCACGCGTCACGTCACAGCGGGTCATGTTAGGTAACATTGTGCCATCCAGTTTGACTTTCCAGGACGTTCCTAAAGCAGTTTCCCTGATGGCCCAGCGGCATACAGTTCAAATTCCTCTTGTAAAACTCTGCCGTGCCGCACCATAGATGAGAAGCTCTGGTACAAGTCTGGCAGCTTCTGCTACTGACTGAGCTTGGATAGGGAACGAACAGCGGTGCACTACAGTCCCCGTGGAGTTGTGGCTCTGACACAGAGTCGGGAGAGAATTCTCTGTATTAGTCTCACTCCGGTAGATGCAATCTCTGTAACTAGCTTAGCCAAACTGTATGATATTGTATCTTTCTGTCTCATTGACGTGCAACATTACCATCTGAGACCCCACCAATAAGAAGAACAGGTGAGAAGTCAGAGATTACCTCACACCTCGCCCGGTAGAAGGACAGGTGAGAAGACCAGAGGACAACAACACCCTGAGATTACCTGAGACTTCAGCCAGTTGAAGGACAAGTGAACGACAAACAGTTACACCTATAGCTTACCGGAAAATCCAGCAGCAATGACAATATTTGGGTACTGCGGGTGGCGATCAATGACCGGGTGGCCGTCTGGGGTATTCTGGACAGAAGTCAGATCACAGATAAAAACAAGTCAGAAATGGGTGTAAAACCATATGTTCATTTGGGAGCCGCTGTGGAGCAGTGGCTAGATGCTCACCTGACGGTCCGAGGATTTTGAGTTTAAATCTGCATGAAGCAAGTAAATGACCCTTTCTCTTGCTATCGGTCGTATTGGATATTTAGCGCTTTATCTATATTTTTTTAGAACAATCGGCCCTAGTCAGTGATGTGGTCACCATCATACCGGCCGCCTTTGCTTCCCAGGACCTAACCTATCACCCATTCAAGGCTGAGTTGAGCTGGGTGCCAATGTCATGTTTAAAAAAATCCGGCTGAATACGGATTTGAGCCCACGACCTTTAAATCTACGGGCGAACGTATAGTCTCTAAACCACAGCGGTTCCCCTTCATCGAGTAGGATTTTTTTTTTTTTTCCACAACTGCCCTTGGCTCTCAGGTCGACTCCCCCTAAAATGGCTACCAGGTAATCTTCTTCTTTTTCGCGTTTACCAGCAATAAACTCGGAAAGTTTTGGTTGTTGGCCCACTTCTGGACTGCAGTCCTGTTCCAGAACCTGAGTGTTGCGTGTGCATCCGTTTTAAAAATCTGTCTTATTTGTATGCAGACTGCTGGTTCCTTGCCTCTCAATCAGATGCACTCCAACTTTGAAGGAAGCTACCAGTTAGCTTGTTTCTTACGACATGCTTTTGAGTAGGCAGTGGGTCTATTCTTGTTTTCCCTATAATAGGGCACCGGAACCCACACGGGCAGTTACCAGGAAATGTCTTGGGAATAAAAGCGGTCGGCGTGAAGTTGATCACATCACCCACTGAGTCCCACTTGGTCTAGACAAGTATACCAGAATCGCGACTGGCAGAGAAACGTGTCCTTGACTTTACTAACATGTACATTTTGTCCCTCTCAGAACAGGAAGTATTTCTACCAACATTGTGTTATCATTGCCAGACTAAGACATTACCAATTTAAAAAAAAAAAAACTAAAATATCGAAACAATAGAACTGACGTCTATGACGAATCCTAAATCCAAATAGAAGACATGATCCGTGGAGGTGTTCACGTCATCATATACAATCTTGACAAATTTGTACCAGTTTTAAAGAATGTTGCATCTCCTTGAATGGGCACGATTCTTCGGCTTTCTGTCGTTTCCCGAGGCAAGTTTTACACTTTGTAGATTGCCGTTACTTTATGAATGGTTCAACGCTAAACCGTTGTCGAAACCTCTGCAAAATGGTCTACTGCCAAATCGCCTACGGGTAATTTCGCATATTTTGTATATTGGAATTATCAAACTGCGTTTACAGCCTATAAGCCGCAGATCATCATCATCAATCAGCAGGTGCTTTACAGAATATAGCTCTTATCACGGCACACCTGGGAGTTTTTCTCTAGTCAATTCCACAGCCTTATGTGCTTTCATGGTCAGTGCATCTTCATCGAAACTGTGCCTACCATCACCGCTCTCCCCAGAAACTGTGCCTACCATCACCGCTCTCACCAGAAACTGTGCCTACCATCACCGCTCTCACCAGAAACTGTGCCTACCATCACCGCTCTCCCCAGAAACTGTGCCTACCATCACCGCTCTCCCCAGAAACTGTGCCTACCATCACCGCTCTCCCCAGAAACTGTGCCTACCATCACCGCTCTCCAGAAACTGTGCCTACCATCACCGCTCTCCAGAAACTGTGCCCACAATCACCGCTCTCTCCAGAAACAGTGCCTACCATCACCTCTCTCCAGAAACTGTGCCTACCATCACCGCTCTCCAGAAACTGTGCCTACCATCACCGCTCTCCAGAAACTGTGCCCACAATCACCGCTCTCTCCAGAAACTGTGCCTACCATCACCGCTCTCCACAGAAACTGTGCCTACCATCACCTCTCTCCAGAAACTGTGCCTACCATCACCTCTCCCCAGAAACTGTGCCTACCATCACCACTCTCCAGGAACTGTGCCTACCATCACCTCTATCCAGAAACTGTGCCTACCATCACCTCTCTCCAGAAACTGTGCCTACCATCACCTCCCTCCAGAAACTGTGCCTACAATCACCGCTCTCACTAGAAACTGTGCCTACCATCACCTCTCTCCAGAAACTGTGCCTACCATCACCGCTCTCACTAGAAACTATGCCTACCATCACCTCTCTCCAGAAACTGTGCCTACCATCACCGCTCTCACTAGAAACTGTGCCTACCATCACCGCTCTCCCCAGAAACTTTGCCTACCATCACCGCTCTCACTAGAAACTGTGCCTACCATCACCGCTCTCACTAGAAACTGTGCCTACCATCACCTCTCTCCAGAAACTGTGCCTACCATCACCGCTCTCCAGAAACTGTGCCTACCATCACCGCTCTCACTAGAAACTGTGCCTACCATCACCTCTCTCCAGAAACTGTGCCTACCATCACCGCTCTCACCAGAAACTGTGCCTACCATCACCGCTCTCCAGAAACTGTGCCTACCATCACCGCTCTCACTAGAAACTGTGCCTACCATCACCGCTCTCCAGAAACTGTGCCTACCATCACCGCTTTCACTAGAAACTGTGCCTACCATCACCGCTCTCCAGAAATTGTGCCTACCATCACCGCTCTCCCCAGAAACTGTGCCTACCATCACCACTCTCTCCAGAAACTGCCTACCATCACCGCTCTCCAGAAACAATGCCTACCATCACCGCTCTCCCCAGAAACTGTGCCTACCATCACCGCTCTCCAGAAACAGTGCCTACCATCACCGCTCTCTCTAGAAACAGTGCCTACCATCACCACTCTACCCAGAAACTGCCTACCATCACCGCTCTCTCTCCAGAAACCGTGCCTACCATCACCGCTCTCCCCAGAAACTGTGCCTACCATCACCGCTCTCTCCAGAAACAGTGCCTACCATGACCGCTCTCTCCAGAAACTGTGCCTACCATCACCGCTCTCACTAGAAACTGTGCCTACCATCACATCTCCCCAGAAACAGTGCCTACCATCACCTCTCCCCAGAAACAGTGCCTACCATCACCGCTCTCTCCAGAAACTGTGCCTACCATCACCGCTCTCTCCAGAAACAGTGCCTACCATCACCGCTCTCTCCAGAAACAGTGCCTACCATCACCGCTCTCTCCAGAAACAGTGCCTACCATCACCGCTCTCTCCAGAAACAGTGCCTACCATCACCTCTCTCCAGAAACTGTGCCTACCATCACCGCTCTCACTAGAAACTGTGCCTACCATCACATCTCCCCAGAAACTGTGCCTACCATCACCGCTCTCACTAGAAACTGTGCCTACCATCACCGCTCTCCAGAAACTGTGCCTACCATCACCGCTTTCACTAGAAACTGTGCCTACCATCACCGCTCTCCAGAAATTGTGCCTACCATCACCGCTCTCCCCAGAAACTGTGCCTACCATCACCACTCTCTCCAGAAACTGCCTACCATCACCGCTCTCCAGAAACAATGCCTACCATCACCGCTCTCCCCAGAAACTGTGCCTACCATCACCGCTCTCCAGAAACAGTGCCTACCATCACCGCTCTCTCTAGAAACAGTGCCTACCATCACCACTCTACCCAGAAACTGCCTACCATCACCGCTCTCTCTCCAGAAACCGTGCCTACCATCACCGCTCTCCCCAGAAACTGTGCCTACCATCACCGCTCTCTCCAGAAACAGTGCCTACCATGACCGCTCTCTCCAGAAACTGTGCCTACCATCACCGCTCTCACTAGAAACTGTGCCTACCATCACATCTCCCCAGAAACAGTGCCTACCATCACCTCTCCCCAGAAACAGTGCCTACCATCACCGCTCTCTCCAGAAACTGTGCCTACCATCACCGCTCTCTCCAGAAACAGTGCCTACCATCACCGCTCTCTCCAGAAACAGTGCCTACCATCACCGCTCTCTCCAGAAACAGTGCCTACCATCACCGCTCTCTCCAGAAACAGTGCCTACCATCACCGCTCTCTCCAGAAACAGTGCCTACCATCACCTCTCTCCAGAAACAGTGCCTACCATCACCTCTCCCCAGAAACAGTGCCTACCATCACCTCTCTCCAGAAACAGTGCCTACCATCACCGCTCTCCATGCCACCATCATGACGTTTAACACGGCTACACTATCTCAGCTTTCTTCAGGACAGGATGCTGTTTATGAGCCAAATCTCCCCGATGCTCAGGACGTCTTGGACAGGGCTATTCAACTAAGTTTACTCAGAGGCCAATCTTTGGGAAGTGTGGATGGTCACAGCCAGATGCTCAGTCCCAACATAGAAAGAGTGTTAATGCACTACAACTGGCAGGTGATCTGCGGGCCACTTGTTAGGCCTTCGAGGGCCAGTTTTGGACCGCGGGCCGCCAGTTGAATAGTCCTGATGTAGGATATCGGTGTTGGTCTTATTCTCGTTGCATGGTATTCTAAGAATCAAGAGACATGTACACATGTCCTGGGAAGTAAAGGCGACAGTGTGATGCTGAGCACATCTCACACCAAGTGCTAACTGGTCTATAAAGTATAGGTCTAGCCCTATATGCCCAATAAGCCTGAAGGTGTGAAGTAACCTTCACTCTACTTCATACTCTAAATGTATATCTGACACACAAGTATGTTCAGCAGATGACAGCACAGAACATCGGCAAGTCTTACTGTGTAAATACAGTACTCTTTGATGGACGGCGTTCCGTCCAGGCCTGGTAACAACGAGGCAGCAATCTGTGGGACCGCCTTGTCCACCCATGTATCATCCGTCTCCCGGTCTCTCTCGTCGGGGTTAATGTCTGGTCCTTGGTATGAGCACACCTGGAAGTACAGTACAGCATGTGTTAACATGTGTCTACTCTCAGTTTGTGTCTACTTTCAGTTTGTGTCTACTTTCAGTTTGTGTCTAATCTCAGTAAGTGTCTAATTTCAGTTTGTGTCTACTTTCAGATTGTGTCTACTCTCACTCTGTGTCTACTCTCACTCTGTGTCTAATCTCAGTTTGCATCTACTTTCAGTTTGTGTCTATTCTCGGTTTGAGTCTACTCTCAGTTTTTGTCTACTCTCACTCTGTGTCTACTCTCACTCTTGTGTCTACTTTCAGTTTGTGCCTACTTTCAGTTTGTGTCTACTCTCAGTCTGTGTCTACTTTCATTTTGTGTCTACTTTCAGTTTGTGTCTACTCTCAGTTTGTTTCTACTCTCAGTTTGTGTCTACTCTCAGTTTGTTTCTACTCACAGTCTGTGTTTACTCTTAGTTTGTGTCTACTCTCAGTTTGTGTCTACTCTCAGTTTGTGTCTACTTTCAGTTTGTGTCTACTTTCAGTTTGTGTCTACTCTCAGTTTGTTTCTACTCTCAGTTTGTGTCTACTCTCAGTTTGTTTCTACTCACAGTCTGTGTTTACTCTTAGTTTGTGTCTACTCTCAGTTTGTGTCTACTCTCAGTTTGTCACTGGGACAAAAAGGCCTGGGAAGACCTGTAAGCATTGAAATCAAAATGTTGGGAGGATTGGAATCATCATCAACAGGTACCTCGCCATTTGTCAATCCTTGGTGATATGGATCAACTACGTTGATCTCACAAGACTTATCATGCAGGTCGTAAGAGACACTAAGCAGAGCTGTTAAGTCTGGCTGCCTCATCCTGCAGAACACTTTATCTGCAAAGTCTAAGCAATCACGGAAATTTCAAACAAACAAACAAATAAACAACCCCCCCCCCCCCCCCTTTTCCAAAAAAAAAAGTGTGGCATGAATTGTTGAGGGCCTATGCTCCATTAGCAAATGAAAGACACACGAAAGTGAAAGACACAAGAAGGACAATCAATGTCTACACGTAACGGAAACCAATATTTGTGTTTGTTTGTTTGATTTTTGGCATCAAGAAAGAAAAAAGAAAAAAAAAAAGAAATATGACCAGCAAGGGCCCACCTTGACTAAACCTGGATACTCTGACATGGGCAGGCCGTAGACCAGGAATCCTTCAGTGACTCCCCGGCAGTCGATGAAACACGGAAACTGGTGACTACTGAACTGGTGTTCATTGGCCTTGCAGTAGTAGACACCGATTCTTATTGGCTGAAATATTCAAAGGCACACCATAAATTACATTCTTATTGGCTGAAATATTCAAAGGCACACCATAAATTACATTTTTATTGGCTGAAAAATTCAGGCACACCATAAATTACATTTTTATTGGCTGAAAAATTCAAAGGCACACCATAAATTACATTTTTATTGGCTGAAATAGAAGTAGAATAGAGTAGAAGAAGAAGAAATTTTCACTTATATATATATATATATATATATATATATATATATATATATATATATATATATGTGTGTGTGTGTGTGTGTGTGTGTGTGTGTGTGTGTGTGTGTGTGTGTGTGTGTGTGAACTTACTTCCTGTTCTTTTTGATAAAAAAAATTAAAATCTCGACCACGTTTAACCTGCTGCTAGCTAGCAGAAGTGAACTTCCTTTCCTAACACCAATTATTATTGGATGAGACGTTTCAGCATGCTTTGTAAACACCAATTATTATTGGCGGAGATATTTTAGCATGTTTTGTAAACACCAATTATTATTGGCTGAGATATTTTAGCATGCTTTGTAAACACCAATTATTATTGGATGAGACGTTTCAGCATGCTTTGTAAACACCAATTATTATTGGCGGAGATATTTTAGCATGTTTTGTAAACACCAATTATTATTGGCTGAGATATTTTAGCATGCTTTGTAAACACCAATTATTATTGGCTGAGACGTTTCAGCATGTTTTGTAAACACCAATTATTATTGGCTGAGATATTTTAGCATGCTTTGTAAACACCAATTATTATTGGCTGAGATATTTTAGCATGCTTTGTAAACACCAATTATTATTGGATGAGACGTTTCAGCATGCTTTGTAAACACCAATTATTATTGGCGGAGATATTTTAGCATGTTTTGTAAACACCAATTATTATTGGCTGAGATATTTTAGCATGCTTTGTAAACACCAATTATTATTGGATGAGACGTTTCAGCATGCTTTGTAAACACCAATTATTATTGGCGAAGATATTTTAGCATGTTTTGTAAACACCAATTATTATTGGCTGAGATATTTTAGCATGCTTTGTAAACACCAATTATTATTGGCTGAGACGTTTCAGCATGTTTTGTAAACACCAATTATTATTGGCTGAGATATTTTAGCATGCTTTGTAAACACTAATTATTATTGGCGGAAATACAATGGTGAGCCAAGCATTATTCCCACCTCAGTTATGCTGTCAACAATGAGCTGAGAAAATGTATGCTTGCCATTTTTACTTTACTGGTATTGGTGTTATTACCTTAATTTATTACTCTCCGTGACAACAGTACTATCACCCCCAACCCAATCGCTTACCTTCAGTGGTAACTATACTATTATCCCCGTTGCTTACCTTGAGTGGCAACTGTACTACTCTCCGTTGCTTACCTTTAGTGGTAGATGTATTATTACAACAGTTTACTTACCTTCAGTGGTAACTGTACTATTACCCCCATCGCTTACCTTTAGTTGCAAATGTACTATTACCCCCATCGCTTACCTTCAGTTGTAACTGTACTATTACCACAGGTCGCTTACCTGCAGTGGTAACTGTACTATTACCCCCGCCGCTTATCTTCAGTGGTAACTGTACTATACCCCCTCCCCCGTTGTTTACCTTCAGTGGTAAATGTACTATTGTCCCCGTTACTCACCTTCAATGGTAACTGTACTATTACCCCCGTTAGTTACCTTCAGTGGTAACTGTACTATTACCCTCATCGCTTACCTTCAGTGGCAGCTGTACTATTACCCCCGTTGCTTACCTTCAGTGGTAACTGTACTATTACCCCCATCGCTTACCTTCAGTGGTAACTGTACTATTACCCCCATCGCTTACCTTCAGTGGTAAATGTACTATTACCCCCATCGCTTACCTTCAGTGGCAGCTGTAGACCCAGTGACGAGCACAGTCGACTTGCCCAGGCTCCAGTTGCTATGACAACACTGTGAGCGGTGTACTGGCCCCGGTTCGTATTTACTGTGACGTCACTTCCTGGGGTCACCGAGGTCACTGTCTCATTATCTCGTATCACGCCTCCATGTCGTAGGAACACTTGCTGTCCAAAGATCATCGCCGATTGGTTACCACATATGACATAATGAGCCATCATACATCACATATACAGTCATCACACATCACATCAACCCCCTCATCTCTTATGGTGTCATCACACATGACATATTAGTTGACATCACATATCTCATCATCCGTGTGTGTGCGTGTGTAACCATGTACGCGTCGTTGTGTGTGTGTGTTTTATGTGTGTGTAACCATGTCTGAATCTCTGTGTGTGTATGTGTGTGTGTGTGCAAACGTGTCTGCATCTGTGTGTATATGTGTGTGTAACCGTGTCTGCATCTCTCTGTGTGTATGTGTGTGGTAACCGTGTCTGCATATCTGTGTATGTATGTTTGTGTAACCGTGTCTGCATATCTCTGTATGTAAGTGTGTGTAACCGTGTCTCATCTCTCTGTGTGTATGTGTGTGGTAACCGTGTCTGCATATCTGTGTATGTATGTTTGTGTAACCGTGTCTGCATCTCTCTGTATGTAAGTGTGTGTAACCGTGTCTGCATCTCCCACGAGATGTCGAGTACGTGTAGAAACGGAATCGATACACCAACAAATGTTTGTTGAGAGAAATTAAACTAATTTGTTTAGCAGAGACAAGCTTTGGCAACCGTTAGATGCCACAACTTTCAGAGACTAGCATTCGGCACGTCAAGCTTGTCTCCCCTGAAGTTCTCTCAGAGATGGCAGCTGGTGCCGGTCGTGGTCCGGCTAACGGAGAGTCAGAGAATCCTCTGGTGACGAAAAGAATTTAGATTGTGCTTAAATCAGGCAAATAGTAATGTGGTTTCTCTTAATGGCACCCCACTCGAAGACGTGGAGTCGTACACCTATTTAGGCAGTAATGTAGATAAAGATGGAGAAACTGATAGAGATATTAAAATAAGAATACAAAAGGCAAGAGGGGCTTTCATATCACTAGGGAATTTGTGGAGGTCAAAAGAAATTAAAAGAAATACTAAACTAAAAATTTTTAATTCTAATGTAAAATCAGTACTATTGTATGGGGCGGAAACATGGAGAACAACCAAGGCAATTACTAATAAATTACAGACATTCATTAACTGGTGCCTGCGCAGAATAGAGGGAATAAAATGGTATGATAGAATAACTAATGTAGAACTTTGGGAGAGAACTAAACAGGCTCCAGTGGATCAGGAAGTGAGGAAAAGACGCTGGCGTTGGATAGGGCACACACTGAGAAAACAGGAGAACAGCATAACTAGAATGTCTTTGCATTGGATCCCACAGGGGCATAGGAATAAAGGAAGGCCAAAAAACACATGGAGAAGAGAGCTGGAGAACGAGGTTAGAAAGATTGGGAGGACATGGGGAGAGCTCCATGCAATGGCGAAGGATAGAACGACTTGGCGTGAGTTGGTTGAGGGCCTATGCTTCATTGGGAGATAGAAAGGCAGAAGAAGAAGAGGGTGTCTGGGCTGTACGGTATTGGCTGTCTCCACAAATTGTTCCCTGTCTCTATGGTACATCTCTCTACTTACGAGCGATTTCTCTGTTCCAGGTCGTGTGTTGATATGTCTCAAAGATTGCATGTACCAACTTTTAAAATAATCCCAGGTCACCAAAAAAAAATGTTTCAGTTAAATAAATGTTCAGTCTCACCTGAAAAGCTTGAAGCGCTTTGTCAGCTCTTAGGATACCTCCACTGGGGTCGAATATCGCTGCAGACTTGTCACCGGCACGCACCGCTGGGTACCGCTGCTGCAGCTGCTCCGGGCTGAGAGTTTCATAGCGAACATTGTGTGCCGTCAGTGCCTCTAGTACCCGCTTCATCCCTGGAGAGTTTTCTGTCCGCAAATCCAGGACTCCGCAGTTGCTGTATGTGGCCAATTGTTGACGTTAGTTAGCACACGATCAAGTTGCTAGAAGTAGCTACATGTTAACTGTACAAATGTTAAATATGAGCCTGGCAAACCATACGAGACAATAGTGTTATACTGTACAATGTGAGAGCATAGGACTCACAAGGCAACGGCGAGTGCGACTAGCAAGACCCTCCATGTTAAGACAGGTCTTCCACAATTAGTTCACTCGATATCTGGACTGCTGTTGCCATCACATATATTTGAGTCTGTTTCTTTCCAAACGCTCAGCTCTCATCCGTTCTACGATAATTAATTCCTTCATTCTCATTCCGGTCCTAATTTGCTTCCTCCACACAACACGGTCCGTGGCATTTTCTTCCCACGAAGGAGCCCTGTTATATGTGGAGTATCGCACTGTGAAACGATTTCACTCACCTCTAAACGATAGAACCATACAATCCGTCTAATGCCTTACCCCAACAACCCTCCACAGCCCAAAATCCCCAATCCCCACAAACACACCTACGACATCATACCTAGTGCAGAATGGAAATCTGTGCCTCAGGCGTTTATTTGTACATTTTCCCGTATTGTCACACTCAACAGGCGATGTAGAGAAGAGAATCCTGTTGCTGTTAATGCAGAGGTCAACGCTCTCATCGGTGAAAATTTAGACGAAGCAGATGCAATAATCTATACAGACGGATCCGTTATACGGCAAAGAAGAAGCGCATGGGCATTTACAGCACGCTCAGCGGGCAGAACAGTCAAAGAAGCCAACGGCGCCTTCTCCATGACAACCAGCAGCATGACGATGGAGGAGATGGCAGTGACGCAAGCGCTTGCCTGGCTTGAAACACAAAAATACACCCACGTGTGTATACTCAGTGATTCAATGAGTATGATCCGGAGGGTTCAGGCAGGTTCAGTGCGAAGACAAAGCCTTGAATCATTATAGAAGTCCACTGTGTGTGGAGTCACCTTTATTTTTGTTCCGGGACACGCAGGCGTCGATGGAAATGAAAGAGCTGACAGGTTGGCTGGATCCGATATCACTACCGACGGTCAGTCTATGGATCATGCTGATATTACCAATGTCCTCAGAGAAATGGGAAGGATAGAGGACTTTGGTGGCAGTGAATCCACATCACTCGCCAGAATGGCAGACTTGGGAATTAAGATGGGCACAGCAAAAAACGAGACGCACACCAGACACGCCAGAAGACTTGTTAATCAACATAGAACTGGTACTATTAGCCATCGGACGTTGGGGTTCATACTGAGGGGAGGATCTGAGCACCTATGGACATGTCCGGAGTGCAATGAGGATAACCCAACTAACTAACTAACTAACTAACTAACTAACTAACTAACTAACTAACTAACTAACTAACTAACTAACTAACTAACTAACTAACTAACTAACTAACTAACTAACTAACTAACTAACTAACTAACTAACTAACTAACTAACTAACACCTACGACTCACATGAACAACTGAGACCCCGACTCCTGCTCCAGCTGGGTCCACAGGGGGAAGGCATCCACCATCATCCTTACGTAGAATCCGTCTTCATACGCATATCGCGTGATGCGGCTCTGTCCGTGTGAGCTTCCGCGAGAGTGCGGCAACGGGAACTGTTGAAGGACATCGTAAAGTAATAGTGAATAAATGAATGATTGAGTTAATGAATAAAGAATTGACATCTCTGCACTTTGGACATTCCCACACGTATTCCCTCTCATTCCTCAGTAGCCAAAAAAGAATCGATATGCCAAAAGTACTAAAAGTCCGCCTAATTTTCCCCTCATTGCTGTTGAATATCATCTAGACCTTCTGTTGGCACTGCCCGCTAGTTCCAAAAAAAGCTGTTACCACACCCGCTTTGCCATTAAATTGCTTTAATCCCAGAGGTGCTACGGCTGCCCGCCTCACACAGTTGTCACTGTTTCTTTGTCTCACATATTGCTGATGTAACTTTGTCTCACACACTGCCCCTGTAACTTTGTCTCACACAGTTGTCACTGTAACTTTGTCTCACACAGTAGTCGCTACTTTGTCTCACACACTGCCCCTGTAACTTTGTCACACACACTGCCCCTGTAACTTTGTCTCACACACTGCCCCTGTAACTTTGTCTCACACACTGCCCCTGTAACTTTGTCTCACACACTGCCCCTGTAACTTTGTCTCACACACTGCCCCTGTAACTTTGTCTCACACACTGCCCCTGTAACTTTGTCTCACACACTGCCCCTGTAACTTTGTCTCACACACTGCCCTGTAACTTTGTCTCACACACTGCCGCTGTAACTTTGTCTCACACAGCTGCCACTGTAACTTTGCCTAACACTGTTGCCACTGTACTTTTGAAAGGTGCAGTGGCGATGTGTGCATGTAAGAGCTGCACCGCTTACACCTTCCATTGACAAATAAAAATGCATTATGTCACTATTTATGATTAGTTTAATATTTATTTTATTTGGTTTAGGACTCCAACACAGCGAAAAGAGCATTGGATGCATGTCTATGTTAGACATGCAGAAACTATAACGTAAAAAGCTACCAGTTATTAGTACTACAATGCTATAGATGCGCACGCATATTCTCAACAGGGAAGCGACGAGGAGGAATATTTCACGCAGTACCCTCTCCAGTGTAGTCGTTATCTGCTAACACGTACGCATGCAAATTGATCATGTCTCGCTACTGTAAGGGACATTTGATTTCCTTTTCAGTTATTGCTGAGTTGTTATGTCTTTTCCCGTTTTCTTATTTACATAATGTTTTTTTTTTCTTCTCCTCATCCTCCTTCTTCTTCTTCTTTTTCCTCTTCTTCTTTTTTCTTCTTCTTCTTCTTCTTCTTCTTCTTCTTCTTCTTCTTCTTCTTCTTCTTCTTCTTCTTCTTCTTCTTCTTCTTCTTCTTCTTCTTCTTCTTCTTCTTCTTCTTCTTCTTCTTCTTCTTCTTCTTCTTTTTCTTCTTCTGATGCTTTATTAATATCCTAACACAAACAGGAGAAATCCACAGGTCACGGGACAGTGTAATATCTGAGGGGGTGGTAGGTAAGCTGCATGCAGTCGTGGGACCTAGTTTGTATGCATTGGTGGGACCTAGGCTGCACTCTGTTGTGGGACGTAGGTGGGTTGGGGTTAGGGCCAGTTCTAAACTTTTTGGGGTCGTTAAAAGCATCAGAAAGCCGGGAAACCCAGTCTTACCACTCTCTAAAATGTTGGACAGCCCTGTGACGTCATCTGGGGGTGGGATACTAATAAAGAACCCTTCTGCTTCTTCTTCTTATTATTATTATTTTTAGATTATTATTCTCTTGCATAGTTCTATCTTTTAGCGTCAGGTTTTGAAGAGGCATAGAGCGCCAGCCAAGGTATGTAACCAAGTCAAGACAACTAAAGGCATCGGGTGCCAGCCTACGTATGTAACCAAATCAAGACAATCAAAGACATAGGGTGCTAGCCTACGTATGTAACAAAGTCAAGACAACTAAAGGCATCGGGTGCTAGCCTACGTATGTAACAAAGTCAAGACAATCAAAGGCATCAGGTGCCAGCCTACGTATGTAACAAAGTCAAGACAACTAAAGGCATCGGGTGCTAGCCTACGTATGTAACCAAGTCAAAACAACTAAAGGCATAGGGTGCCAGCCTACGTATGTAACAAAGTCAAGACAACCAAAGGCATCGGCTGCCAGCCTAGGTATGTAACAAAGTCAAGACAATCAAAGGCATCGGGTGCTAGCCTAGCTAGGTAACCAAGTCAAGACAACCAAAGGCATCGGGTGACAGCCTAGGTATGTAACCAAGTCAAGACAACCAATCTGCACCTGGTCGAGCAGCAGGACACTCCTCCCCGTCTTGGACAGCGTGTAGGCGCTGGCAGACCCTTCTATCCCCGCACCAATAACGATGACGTCATAGTCAGCTTTCGATGACGTCATTGTCAGATCGCCTGGTGTCGGAGCCTTCGGGAGGGAAACTCTTCAACAGTGGCTCTGAAGTCGTAGCTGGTCCCTGATGGAAGACAAGCAAACATTATTGGATATTTATTTAATCAATAAAAGCTGACAGGGCAATATCTGGGGCTGCTTCGTCCACGCATTCTAGAAGGAGTTCGAATATGTTTGTTTCAAATTGTCCTGGCAACGGTTTTGAAACAGTTCACTGTTGAGGAGCATAACTTCTTTGGATTCGAATTGTCATTAAGCCTAAAAGGTTGCCGCGAATCAGACTTCTGTATCAGTCATCCTTTCCTTCTTGAGAATTGGCAATGGAATGTTTATGTTAAAGACGTTGGGGACAGTAGAGTAGTGGAACTTGGAGACGCTGAAACATTGTCAGCTGGTCTTGTGTATAGACGCCAACCGTCACAATGTATAATGAAATGTTGGATATCCCTGTGTGTGTTCTATGGTCACATTGGGGGGGGGGGGGGGGGGGGTGAGAGAACAGACCAAATGTCTCCCCAACAAGCATGTCGTAAGAGTCGATTAATTAGGGGCTTCCTTTAAAGTGGAAGTGCATGAGAGGCACACACACACAAAAAACGACAGTCTGCATACAAATAAGTCAGATATGTTAGAGTGCATGCAACACTCAGATTCTGGGACAAGATTAAAGTCCAGAGGCGGTCAAACAACCAGAACTTTCCTGCAGAGTTTAGAGCTGTGAACACAAAGAAGAAGTAGAAGAAGAAAAAGAAAAAGAAGAAAGGTTAAAGAATACAAGGATAGCGGAGATTTCTGCACCTCACCTTATAGTAGACCATTGGTGTCCAACAAACCCATTCTCATCATTCGTCTATTAAAACCACATCTCTGCAGCTTTTACACAATGCTTTAGTAACCTGGGTTCGGCTGAGTAAGAACCGACATCACAGTACTCAAGACACTTTCATAAGCGATGCGTCCAAAACGTCAGCAGCCAGGGAAGAGATCGAATGCTGATGGCACCAGTAGTAGTTGGGTTATACGACCGTCGTGCATTTCTTCTGAGTCAAGTGTGTCGACCAGATCCCCTAGCCACTCCCCGCTGCACCATTCTCTCCAGACCTAATGATCTCTTGGTGCCTCCGCGATGTTCACTTTCTCCCAAAGGACCTTGCAATGTTCACTTTCTACCAAAGGGCCTTGCAATGTTCACTTTCTCCCAAAGGGCCTTGCAATGTTCACTTTCTCCCAAAGGGCCTTGCAATGTTCACTTTCTCCCAAAGGGCCTTGCAATGTTCACTTTCTCCCAAAGGACCCTGCAACGCTCACTTTCTCCCAAAGGACCTTGCAAAGTTCACTTTCTCCCAATGGACCCTGCAATGTTCACTTTCTCCCAAAGGACCTTGCAATGTTCACTTTCTCCCAAAGGGCCTTACAATGTTCACTTTCTCCCAAAGGGCCTTGCAATGTTCACTTTCTCCCAAAGGACCCTGCAATGTTCACTTTCTCCCAAAGGACCTTGCAATGTTCACTTTCTCCCAATGGACCCTGCAATGTTCACTTTCTCCCAAAGGACCTTGCAATGTTCACTTTCTCCCAAAGGACCCTGCAATGTTCACTTTTTCCCAAAGGACCTTGCAATGTTCACTTTCTCCCAAAGGACCCTGCAATGTTCACTTTCTCCCAAAGGGCCTTGCAATGTTCACTTTCTCCCAAAGGACCTTGCAAAGTTCACTTTCTCCCAATGGACCCTGCAATGTTCACTTTCTCCCAAAGGACCTTGCAATGTTCACTTTCTCCCAAAGGGCCTTACAATGTTCACTTTCTCCCAAAGGGCCTTGCAATGTTCACTTTCTCCCAAAGGACCCTGCAATGTTCACTTTCTCCCAAAGGACCTTGCAATGTTCACTTTCTCCCAATGGACCCTGCAATGTTCATTTTCTCCCAAAGGACCTTGCAATGTTCACTTTCTCCCAAAGGACCCTGCAATGTTCACTTTCTCCCAAAGGGCCTTGCAATGTTCACTTTCTCCCAAAGGACCTTGCAATGTTTACTTTCTCCCAAAGGGCCTTGCAATGTTCACTTTCTCCCAAAGGACCTTGCAATGTTCACTTTCTCCCAAAGGACCTTGCAATGTTCACTTTCTCCCAAAGGACCTTGCAATGTTTACTTTCTCCCAAAGGGCCTTGCAATGTTCACTTTCTCCCAAAGGACCTTGCAATGTTCACTTTCTCCCAAAGGGCCTTGCAATGTTCGCTTTCTCCCAAAGGGCCTTGATTACATCTAGGCTGCCGTGCTTCAGTTCACTATCTAGTTTTGCTGAACCGGCCAGTCTGTCCACCCGTTCGTTTCCCAACACAGCTTATGCGCCTGAGAAAAGATCCAAACGTTGCAACCCGTGACCTAGGAAGCGATGCTTGCCACGCTGTTTTTCTCCGCCTGTTTTTGCATGACTTGTGTGTGCGTGTGCTATAATTACAACACATACACAGCGCACACACACACACACACACACACACACAACATAGGTTAGTTGGGTATCCATTACAGGACGTTGCAGAAGCAACACTAACAGCCCCTGGCTGTTGTGTGGTTTTTCTAGGCAAATTTACATCCAGTAGTTTGCCATCGCCCTGGACGGTCGGCTTTCTTGATACCACTGTCGAAACCAACGCAAGGCGCATGGGCCGCTGCTGGGATCGAACTTGGCATCCCGGCATTACGAAGCGTTCGCATCGACCTAGCCACAGAGCCGATACACACAACATAGTGAGAGAGAAAGAGAGAGAGAGAGAGAGAGAGAGAGAGAGAGAGAGAGAGAGAGAGTGGGGGGGGGGGAGTAGACCAAAAACACAAACACACATCGGACACTACAAAACCACACATTTGCAGCTTCCCGTCAATCTGCTGTACCTGCCAGGTTGCACACCACATATTTACCAGTGTCACACACTGAGGCAGGGTTTAGAGAACTAAAGGATACCTTCTGACGGGCTTCTTGTAATCTAGCGTTCCTGATAAGATAGATATCTACTTTTACATTTCACAACTTGTTCTACTATATAGCAGTAAAATATTTCAACTTATCTTGTAAATTTGCGTACATTCCCCACGCTCTAGGGGAGTCCCTTTTTGTTCTATGAAGCATAGGCGCCGTAACGTGGGCGTTCAGACCCTCGAGCCACCCCCCCCCCCCCCCATACACACAATGCTGTAATGTTGCCAGTGGGGTTAATGAGTTATAAATATGGTGTAACTGCGTTGTCAGTGGGATTAATGAGTTACAAATGTACTATAAGTTTGTTGTGAGAGTCATTAATGAGTTATAAATATGCTGTACCTATGTAGGACTGAGAGAAAGAGAGAGAGAGAGAGAGAGAGAGAGAGAGAGAGAGAGAGAGAGAGAGAGAGAAGGAGAGGGGGGGGGGGATACCACAAAAGTTTACACGCGTATGACCTCAAATGGTCATATCCAGCTCTGATTAGGGATTGGAGCCTGTGCGATCTCTTAAGGCCCAAATAGACATGTCCTGGCACACGGGTAAATGCACTAGCACAGATATCCCCAATTTAAGCAGGTACGGTGAGATACAAGTCCTCGTAACAAGGCCTGGAACACCTGAAGAACACAACAGATAACATCGAATGTGAGACCACAGTTTGACGCTCTCACCCAGCAGGGCAATGTCTGTTGTAACGTTAGCATGCAGCCCTACACTGTCTGTTCTAACGTTAACATGCAGCCCTACACTGTCTGTTCTAACGTTAACATGCAGCCCTACACTGTCTGTTCTAACGTTAACATGCAGCCCTACACTGTCTGTTCTAACGTTAACATGCAGCCCTACACTGTCTGTTCTAACGTTAGCATGCAGCCGCTACACTGTCTGTTCTAACGTTAACATGCAGCCGCTACACTGTCTGTTCTAACGTTAACATGCAGCCCTACACTGCCTGTTCTAACGTTAACATGCAGCCCTACACTGTCTGTTCTAACGTTAACATGCAGTCGATACACTGCGTGTTCTAACGTTAGCATGCAGCCGCTACACTGCCTGTTCTAACGTTAGCATACAGCCGCTACACTGGCTGTTCTCTTGGTGAAGGACAATTATACTGTTCAAACATAATTATCAATTTTTTGTTGACAGGAAAGCCTGTACGCCTAAAAACTATAGATGACGTACATGCGAACGAATTGTCAATTGATTGGTTGAACCCTATTCTCGAGGAATATTATTTGAAAAATTGCAGTCATTCTATTACAAAGGTCGGCTATGTGGCTAAGTCGATGCGAACGGTTCGTAATGTCGGGATGCCGGGTTCGATCCCAGCTGCGGGCCTTGCGCCTTGAGTTGGTTTCGACAGTTGTATCAAGAAAATATACATAAGAATCATCGCCGGAGCTACAGGGCACGTGCTCTGCGCTTGACACATTATTCAGCGGTTAGTGAAGAGGGAGTGAGGAGGAGACGACGAGGAAATGGGGGAGAGAAGAAGGCATAGAAATGGGAGGGCGACTGCTAGGAGAACAAGACAAAAAGCTGAGAGATTGAGCTTTAATCTTCTTCTTCTTCTTCGCGTTCACCAGCTGTAAACTCTGGCGGAAGGTTCTGGTTGCTCGTCCACTACTGAACTGCAGTCCTGCTCCAGAACCTGAGTGTTGCGTGTGCATCAGTTTTACAGATCTCATTCTCTTGAATACAGACTGTTGGTTCCTTGCCTCTCCGGCAGACGCACTCCGTCTTCAAAGGAAGCAAGCTTTAATCATGTAAGAGTAGGATACCGGAACTGTCGGTGTGCTAGGCAGAGAGGTCCTGTACTGGAGAGGTTGATTTTTGATTTTGATGTCATGATGCTCCAGGAGCTAAATACAGACAGATATTTTTGCCCGGGGTACGTCAGTTACATAAACCCTGTTGGACAGAAGAGGCATGGACAAGGTCTAGCGGTAAAGGAGGGAGTGAAGCATGTGGTGCTTGACTTGAGCCAGTGGAACCACAGTGGACGAGAGGTTCAAGGGATACATGTGGAAATTGGTGGCTTGAGTTGGAGCCTCATAAATATATATGCCACGGTAGACTGTTTTATCAGAAGTGAACGATGGAGTTGGCTCAAGGAATTGGAGGAGTTACCAGGTGATAGGTTACTCATGTGTGGGGATTTCAACGCGAGGAACAGAGAATGGGACAGCAGTGGAGAAAACCAACAGGGAATTGCTCTTGCAGAGGCCATGGTTGACTCCGATATGGTCTGCATCAATGATGGGAGGCCGACTAGAATGGCAATGAGGTCTGGAGATGCAGACACAGCCATTGACTTGACATTTGTCTCTCAGTCGTCGGTTTTAAATGTTAAATGAACTGTCCTGAATGACCATGGGAGTGATCACCTACCATGTTCAGTCATGATTTCTAAACACAGTAAGGTTAAGGTTGGGAGAGCATGCTAGACCTTCCAGTATAAGTGGACCAACAACCTACTTGGACTCCTCAGACGGGGAGCATGCAAAAGAACTGCCAGAACTAATTTTTTTCAGCCCAAATGGTGGACTCCAGAAGTAGAACAGGCATGGAGGGCAAAGAGAGCCGCAGTGAAGCAGCTAAAGAAAGTACGACAGACACCCTCAAGCTCACGAGAGGAAGTGGAGATGGCGGAGAATATAAAAAGAGATAAGGTGGAGGTTTTCAAGCGCTGTGCTGCAGAGGCCAAAAGAGCAAAGTGGGAAACTTTTGTGAATGATATGGGCGGCGATAAAACATTGGGGAAATTCTGGAAACTGCAAAGGCAGATGCAAAGAAAAGATCGGCCTATGACAGTCGGAACAATTTGTAGAGACGATGGTGCGCGTGTGACAACAGACAAGGAGAAAGAGGAGGCTTTTCTCCATAGGTTTATAGCTCAGACAGATCATAATGATGTAGACATCAGGGATGCAGTTAGAAAGGAGTTAGCTGGCACCTTGAAAAATATGCATTATGAAGACATGATACAAGTGGAAGATATCAAACAAATTTTAAAAAAAGCACCAGGGCCTGATGGTGTCAGGTATGGTCACATGTAGGCTTTGAGCGATGTAGACCTGGCAGAGATGGCCGACTGTTTTAACCAGAGTATTAAGACAGCACATGTACCGCAAGACTGGGTGCACAGCTATCTAATCCCACTACCAAAACATTTTAAAGATCATTCTAAACTTAGTGGCTTTAGAACACCTTACAAAACACATTTGGGAAGGTCTTGGAGAAGATAGTTGCTGTAAAGTTACAAGAATTTTTGGAAAGGGGGAAGCTTCTCCCAAGAGGTCTGGGAAGTTACAGGTCAGGAAAGGACACTTGGGCAAATGCGGCCACTTTTGCGTTTGACGTCTATGAAGGGTTCCAGAACAGACAGGAAACTATGGCGGTAGGGCTGGATCTCGAGGATGCTTATAACAGAGTGAGATACGACATCTTAATGACTGCACTGAGGGAGAAGGGGGATCCACAGGGATCCGCCATCTCGCCTGTGCTCTTCAACGTGTATACGAGCAAGATTGCAAGCCTAGAAGCACCAGGAGTTGGAAGGATACTGACTTTTGCGGATGATATACTTGCATATAGGCAGGGGGAAGAGAGGGAACAAACAGCCCGGGAGCTACATGCGACAGTAGACAAAGTGACTGAGTGGTGTACAGAAATGAAAGCTGAAGTCCACCCGGAAAAGGCGTCTGTTTTGTGGTGTTTTCTGGACAACAGAATCGTTAAAACTAATGTCCCAAGTCTCACGATAGATGGTAGAGACGTCAACAGAGAGAGAGAGAGAGAGAGAGAGAGAGAGAGAGAGAGAGAGAGAGAGAGAGAGAGAGAGAGAGAGAGAGAGAGAGAGAGAGAGAGAGCAAACTGAAGTATCTGGGAATTACATTTGACAGGAGCCTGTCATTTAAGGACCAAGTGGAGAGTGTTGTGACGAGATGCCAAAAAGGACTTAGTGCACTTAAGACTATGGCTGCAACTGACATAGAGCAGAGAATGCTTTTCACACTATATCAGCACCTGATCCTGTCAGTGGTGGATTATGGCCTGACACTGCTTACAGTCTCAAAGGGTCAGATGGACAAACTAGAGCGCATACAGAACGCGGCTATGCGGGTCATTCTGGGTTGCACCAGTGACACCCCAGTGGTGTGTATGCGATACATCCTTGGTTTGCCGACGGTTGCAGGTAGGCACAAGGTGATGCAGGCGAAGTCATATCTCAGGGTAGCTGCAGACACAGACCACCCTCTGCATGAAGCTCTGGGTGCAGTTAAGGGTCAGCGGCTGATAAGAGGGAGGTCATGGATGGCTCAGGCAGAAGACACAATCAGGCAGGTTTACATCCTTGATAACATTGGGCAAGAAGAGGAGTGGGTCAAAGTGCCACCTGAGCAGTAAGACTTGTGTTTCTTCTTCTTCTTCTGCGTTCGACATCAGTCATGCTACACACTGAGTCTCGTCTGGGTCAAAAATAAGATTGTGCGTTTAAGGTCGCCACCGGTCCCCCATAGCTTCTATCGCAATGTGGATCCCGCTGAGCCGGGAATACAGAGACTGGCCAGCAGGTGCCACAGAGGTGGAAATTCAGCAATTAATTCTAGATAATGCTCGCTCAGAGGATTTGATCATTTACACAGACGGTTCAGTGTCAAGAGGCAAAAGAAGTGCTTGGTTTTTTTAAGCAAAAGTTAATGGTCGACGTTTGGTGCAGGAGAGCCGAGCATATGATACCACAACATCCAGCTTAAGAATGGAGGTGGAGGCGGTAACTGATTCAGAAAGCATGCTGAGGAAGATCAGAACAGGCATACTTCGTGCAGAGTGGCATGCTTCGCTGCGGAGTACACGAGTGAAGAGTATTGTCTGGATTTTTTCACTGGGTCACGCCGGTGTGTTGGGAAATGAACAGGCGGACAGACTGGCTGGCTCTGCACAACTTGGTGGAATACTGCTACATGATAGGGCAGACGTGGTTAGTGCATTGTGGGAGAGCGTGTACACTGCGGAGGAGCAGATGGATCACCCCAGTTTGGTGAGATTGATGCAGTTAGGGGTGACGAGAGGTTCTGACAGAAGCTCAAGACTCAGGGGAAAGGCAAGACGGACATTTAATCAGAAAGCTACTGGCACCATTAGTATCGGAACTCTTCGCTGGCTGCTGAAGATGGGGACGGAACGCTAATGGGAATGCCCCGAGTGCTGTGATGTCGGTTCTTGAATCAAATCAAATCAAATCAATCAACCCACGCGGAGATGTTTGCATTCTTAAGTTAAGTGTTTTATTTTTGTTTTTTATTCTTTTTGTAAATGGTATCATGGACATCTTAAATTTTGTCAACGGACTGCGCCCACCAAAATGCATAAACTGATTCACGGCAGCGACGTTAACTGTTCTAGATCTGCTAGAAAAGGTCGTCAGACTTCTAAGAACACAGCTGACAACGAAAACAAAACATTCCTTTTGCGCACAGACACACACCTATCACCAGATGACACTAGAAGAAAAGTGCGCGATGACACCTGATCTGCCAAAAACCCTGATAGGATCTAACATTACAGCAAATATTTTCGAAAACGTATCTGGTTACATAAATATTAGAACCGGTAAAACAAGTTTGAATGCCCTTCTTTTATGGACGGAATCCGTACTCATAGGTAACAATTTAGAGTTAATTAAGCGAGAGTTTGTACATATTTAATTTGCTCAAAAAAAGTATGTCTAACTAGAATACACGCTAGATACGAAAATGAAAAACATTACAAAGGAAAAAACTTACCGTATTTCAGGTCAATGGTAGTAATAACATTGTATTTTATATTTAGGATACGTGTCGATAAGCCAATGACAAACGTTCACGTTTCCGTACTGATAAACACGGTGTTAAGTTTTTCTTTATTGCTATTTTTATATTGTTTTTTAAAATAAATAATGAACTTAAACATTTAATTTATAAGTTTTGCTAAATTTTTTTAAGCTGAATATGTAACAGTTGAACATTCAAGTAAAAGATATCAAAGATTGCGCGTGGTAAGTTTTGGAGAATTACAAGGCTGAAGGGACCTGACCACTGAGGGCCACAAAACACATTTGAACTTTTCACACAAGGAAAAGAACCAAAGCTGGAGTACTAAATTTTATAAAAACGACTTCCAGCATCCATCGCTTTTCCGCGAACCACATCATCTTGTCGGAGTTTCATCTCAATCATCGAGGAAAGGCGATGTATCTAAGTTCTCCTTGAGCTGGGGTTGTATCTAAATCTACAACGAATCGAAAGAAACGAGCCACAGCTTTGACACGAGCGATGTGACATTGTCTACTTACTCACTGAAGGAACCGAACCCTCTTCTTTCTATCACTGTCCGGTTAGCACACAAGACTGGGCCATCTCATCATCACCTGTCCGTCCCCAACCGACTGAGCCATCTCATCATCACCTGTCCGCCTTTAACCGACAGAACCATGTCTAGAGAATCGTCACCTAACGCCCTACTGATGGGTGCCATCGAAGACTGGAATGATTTGGAGAAAGAATATACCCAGCTTGAGGTAATTTAGCCATTTCTTGTAGTTGTGTGTGACATATGTGTGCTGTTGTTAGGTGTGAAATGTGTGCTATTAGATCATGTATGTGTGACGTGTGTGCTGTTGTTAGATGTGTATGTGTGACATGTATGCTGCTAGATGTGTATGTGTGATGTGTGTGCTGTTGTTAGATGTGTATGTGTGATGTGTGTGTTGTTATTAGATGTGTATGTGTGACGTGTGTGCTGTTGTTAGATGTGTATGTGTGCTATTAGATTATGTATGTGTGATGTGTGTGCTGTTAGATTATATATGTGTGACGTGTGTGCTATTAGATTATTATGTGTGACATGTGTGCTATTAGATTATGTATATGTGACGTGTGTGCTGTTAGATTATGTATGTATGACATGTGTGTGCTGTTAGATGTGTTCTGAATGTGAGGGTAATGTGTAATGTATATGTGTGTGCATGTGACATGTCTGTGAGAGTGACGTTTGTGTTTGTGGGATGTGTGTTCACTAAAACTTTCAAAATTTTAGTTTCTTAATACATTTGTTGGATTTAAATAGAAATAAAATAAATATTGTTATAATTATTTAGGTTAATATAACAGTTAATACATCTATAGCAAATTGCACATAGGTAGAAGATTTTGATTGTTGTCCCTGTGTCAGAGTAAGTATGTTTGTAAAATGTACTTTGCTATCATTGTTTCTACTCAGATGCTACAAACTCTTCCTAATCTATCACTGTTGCCTTTTCTTTCTACCCTCAGTGCAACTGTCATCTTGGCAAAATGTTTCCATAAGTTCATCTAAGAAATTATAACATTCATTGTCATAAACCTGCTTATTGCCTTAATAGCAACGGTTGTTTGGTAGCTCTAGACAGTGGTGAGAAGATTCTTGACAGCCTTTTCTCATGGCATGGAAGGGTGTCGTCAACACACAAACTGATTCACCCATTTGAGGAAAACAGCTTGTGGAGAGGCATGATCGCCCACGCCGGTCAGCAAGGCACTGGATGATGATGAGATCAGGAACAACGTTAACACATAAGACAAGCTTGATCTCTCATACATAATTCAAGAGTGGCAGGAAAGGATGACTGCACAGAGCCAAATAAACATTAAACAACTGAAACTTGGTGTCAGTTGACGTTACACATCTTACAGTAGCAGAAAAACACGTCTGCTTCCTCTCTGTGAAGCTCTTTGGCACAGGCGGTAGGACAGAAGAAGAATTAAAAACACAGACAGTTATAAAATTAATGATCAGACATCACTGTGTGGGTTCCGCAGTTTCATGGGGGTGGGGAAATAGACCAACTGCCTCCCTCTGACAAGCTTGTCATAATAGTTGCTTCCAAAACAAGCTTGTCATAATAGTTGCCTCCAAAACAAGCTTGTCATAATAGTTGCCTCCAAAAAGAAGCTTGTCCTAATAGTTGCCTCCAAAACAAGCTTGTCATAATAGTTGCCTCCAAAAACAAGCTTGTTGTAATAGTTGCCTCCAAAACAAGCTTGTCATAATAGTTGCCTCCAAAAACAAGCTTGTCCTAATAGTTGCCTCCAAAACAAGCTTGTCATAATAGTTGCCTCCAAAAACAAGCTTGTTGTAATAGTTGCCTCCAAAAACAAGCTTGTCCTAATAGTTGCCTCCAAAACAAGCTTGTCATAATAGTTGCCTCCAAAAACAAGCTTGTCATAATAGTTGCCTCCAAAACAAGCTTGTCATAATAGTTGCCTCCAAAACAAGCTTGTCATAATAGTTGCCTCCAAAACAAGCATGTCATAAAAGATGATTAATTAGATGTATCATTCAAAGTTGGAGTGCATCTGCCTGAGAGGCATGAAACCAACATTCTGCATAAAAAATAAACCAGAATGTATAAAATGGATGTGCCTGCAGATTTCAAATCTAGATCAAGACCAAAGTGCAGAAGCGGTCGAACATCCAGAACTTTCTGCCAGAGTTGACAGACGGTGAATGCTGAGAAAAAGAAGCATTAGACAGCTTCAGAAGCAACGGATTAAGGGGGAAATTTGACATGTCCACATGGTTGCTCAAATAACTTTCATACATTCAGCCTCTGATTCATTGCAAGCTGCTGTTATGATTGCTGTTATATAATCTCACGTTTTATTGTAACAGGAAGATCATAAGAATTACTGTGAATTGTTGAGCAGACTCAGCGCCGCCCAGCAGAAATGTCTCAGCCAGATTGCTCATCATCGCTACAGAATCAAGTGCATTCTGGATCTCTTGAACAGGTGAGATGCAGGTCATGTCATGTCTGATGTTGGTTCCTTTGTGTACTTGATGTCAAAGTTTGTGTAGGCATCACCATTGTGTGATGTCATTACTTTATGTTGTTGATGTCATCACTTTGTGTTTTAGCTGTCATCACTTAGTGTTTTAGGTGTCATCACTTTGTGTTTTAGGTGTCATCACTTTGTGTTGTTAATGTCATCACTTTGTGTTCTAGCTGTCATCAGTTAGTGTTTTAGGTGTCATCACTTTGTGTTGTTGATATCATCACTTTGTGTTTTAGGTGTCATCACTTTGTGTTGTTAATGTCATCACTTTGTGTTCTAGCTGTCATCAGTTAGTGTTTTAGGTGTCATCACTTTGTGTTGTTGATATCATCACTTTGTGTTTTAGGTGTCATCACTTTGTTTTTTAAGTGTCATCACTTTGTGATTTAGGTGTCATCACTTTGTTTTGTTGATTTCAACATCACTTTGTTTTGTTGATTTCAACATCACTTTGTATTGTCATCATCACTTTGTGTTGTTGATGTTGTCAATTTATCTTGTAAATGCCATCACTTTGTGTTGTTTATGCCATCCCATCATCACTTGTGTTGTAGGCATGGTAAATTGAAACAAACAAACTTGTCAGTAGTATCAGTAGAAAGTCTATTTGTGTAATTCAAGGGCCCAAGAATAGAGGGTGACCTAAAACCTCACAGAGGACATTGAGGACAGAGAGGAATATTATGGAGAAGACAAAGGCAGAGCTGCAGGAGATAGCAACAGATAATTTGACAGCCTGGATTGGGTTCATTGATCCAGCCTGTTTGCTTCGATGGGGGTAAATGACAGGACAGACAGACTACCGTTCAACCCCATTAGGACCGCAAGAAGAATGACAAACATCCGGTGACATCAAGTGCCACCATTCGGATGAGAATTACCCAGGCGCAAGTCCCAGAAACCCCATTAAACCCGTAGGTTATGTATAGGGTAGGGCTTTAAAATAACAAACTGTTGCATCCCACAGTGGGACCGGATTTTTATTAGAAAAGAGAGGAGGAAAATATTAAATATATGGCAGTCCTTAGCTCTTTGAGTCCCAAGGGTTTACCATCAGAGGCCCAAGGGGTGGTAATGCAATTTTTTTAAATTTCACAAGTGAAACACATTAAAACAGACCCTACTAATGCAGCTGTTGCTCAACATACACATATTATACATCAAAGTGACCGGGGATTGTTGATGAATAATAATAGAATACTGCTGCAACAAATAATTTCATTAGTAATTAAATATTAGTAAATAAATAGACTGTATGATTACAAAAATTAGTAAAATGAAATGCAAATTCCACTTACCGCCATGGCACTCAAAAAATAAAGCTTGATAAATGGTCCTCCTTGACAAATATTACATGTAACTTTAACAATTTGGAATGAGTTCAGCAAGTTGATGAATTCTTCTTCTTTTTTCTTCTTCACGTTCACCAGCTGTAAACTCTGGCGGACGGTTCTGGTTGCTCTTCCACTACTGAACTGCAGTCCTGCTCCAGAACCTGAGTGTTGCGTGTGCATCAGTTTTACAGATCTCATTCTCTTGAATACAGACTGTTGGTTCCTTGCCTCTCCGGCAGATGCACTCCGACTTCAAAGGAAGCTTCCCAATTAGTCGACTCTTACGACATGCTTTTGGGGAGGCAGTGGGTCTATTCTTGTTTTCCCCACAATGGGGCCCCGGAACCCACACGGGGGAGTTGATGAATTAAATACAAAATTGACTGTCACAGAGTTGGATTCCAGTTTCACCAGTTAAAAACGCTTGTGTTTATGAATATATGACTCTGTTGTGTCTTGTGGCTAGAAATGGCTGCTCATCAGTGTATGTTATTTCTGTCGCAGAGCGTCAAAGGCACCTCATGGAGAAGAGGAGAGGAAGCAAATAGCAGACTTGAAGATGAAGATTGCCGATCGGAAAATTAATTTTCATGAAATGGAGGACAACCTGCCACATAAAAATGGGTCAGTTTTGATTGTATTATTCTCTTCCCCCCCTCCCCTCCCCGTCCCCGTCCCCGTCTCTCTCTCTCTTTCTGTCAGTCACTCCATCTCTCCCTGTCATGCTACTTCTGTTTCTCTTTTACTGTCTGCTGTAACATCTCTCCTTCCTACTCTGGACAAGGTGAAGAATAATAAGACAGATTATCACTAGATCCATAAAAGACCCAACAGACAGACAACAGTCACCCAGGTTGATGGCTTCCACTGTCCCAGTTTTGGGTTAGACAAATCAGCAATGATTCATATTTATGTAAACATTTTCTCTCCCCTTCTCCACCCCAAATTAAAGGTGCGGATATCACAGCCTAGCTTTAAACTTACAACACAGTCTGCCAACCACCCTTTTCAGAGCAAATTCATAAGAAGAAACACGTGTTGAGTGGTGTGGACGTTTACATGCCAGCCGTAGTTACTTCGTATTAAATTTCATGTTACATATGTTACCCATGCCGAGAAAGTCAGGCTTCGTGCAGAGCGGCAGGCTCCATGCTGAGAAAGTCAGGCTTCGTGCAGAGTGGCAGGCTCCATGCTGAGAAAGTCAGGCTTCGTGCTGAGAAAGTCAGTCTTCGTGCAGAGCGGCAGGCTCCATGCTAAGAAAGGCAGGCTTCGTGCAGAGCGGCAGGCTCCATGCTAAGAAAGGCAGGCTTCGTGCAGAGTGGCAGGCTCCATGCTAAGAAAGGCAGGCTTCGTGCAGAGCGGCAGGCTCCATGCTAAGAAAGGCAGGCTTCGTGCAGAGCGGCAGGCTCCATGCTAAGAAAGGCAGGCTTCGTGCAGAGTGGCAGGCTCCATGCTAAGAAAGGCAGGCTTCGTGCAGAGTGGCAGGCTCCATGCTAAGAAAGGCAGGCTTCGTGCAGAGTGGCAGGCTCCATGCTAAGAAAGGCAGGCTTCGTGCAGAGCGGCAGGCTTCGTGCAGAGTGGCAGGCTCCATGCTAAGAAAGGCAGGCTTCGTGCAGAGTGGCAGGCTCCATGCTAAGAAAGGCAGCCTTCGTGCAGAGTGGCAGGCTCCATGCTAAGAAAGGCAGGCTTCGTGCAGAGTGGCAGGCTCCATGCTAAGAAAGGCAGGCTTCGTGCAGAGCGGCAGGCTCCATGCTGAGAAAGGCAGGCTTCGTGCAGAGTGGCAGGCTTCGTGCAGAGTGACAAACATTGAATCAGAGGTCCTGAGTAGTTAGCCTCCTCTGTGGGTTTTCACCACGGATGCAAGTGTATTGAAGAATTAAAAGACAGACAGTTTGCCTGGTTTGGCCCCACTTAGTGGTGAACTGATGAGTGACAACCTAGGACAATGCAGAGGCTTGAATAGATAATGATGGTTTGGAGATAATATTGTAGCGGGGGGTGACCTGGGGATCTGGCTGACGCTCAACACTCAAAGGAGATTGGTACAGCTGGGAGTGACCATAGGATCTGACCGACACTCGACACTCATAGGAGAGACTGGTACAGCTGGGAGTGACCAGGGGATCTGGCTGACACTCGACACTCAAAGGAGAGACTGGTACTGCTGGGAGTGACCAGGGGATCTGGCTGACACTCGACACTCAAAGGAGATTGGTACAGCTGGGAGTGACCATGGGATCTGACCGACACTCGTAGGAGAGACAGGTACAGCTGGGAGTGACCATGGGATCTGACCGACACTCGACACTCATAGGAGAGACAGGTACAGCTGGGAGTGACCATGGGATCTGACCGACACTCGACACTCAAAGGAGATTGGTACAGCTGGGAGTGACCATGGGATCTGACCGACACTCAAAGGAGATTGGTACAGCTGGGAGTGACCATGGGATCTGACCGACACTCGACACTCAAAGGAGATTGGTACAGCTGGGAGTGACCATGGGATCTGACCGACACTCGACACTCAAAGGAGATTGGTACAGCTGGGAGTGACCATGGGATCTGACCGACACTCGACACTCAAAAGAGAGACTGGTACAGCTGGGAGTGACCATGGGATCTGACCAACACTCGACACTTATAGGAGAGACTGGTACAGCTAGGAGTGACCATGGGATCTGACCGACACTTAACACTCATAGGAGAGACTGGTACAACTGGGAGTGACCATGGGATCTGGCGGACACTCGACACTCAGAGAAAAGGCATGACGCACATTTTTTCAAACTGCTACTGGCACCATCAGAATTGAAAGTCTGCTGAAGATGGTAAAGAAGCATTTATGGGTAAAGTCCCTAGTGTTATGATTTCATTTCTTATCTCGACTTATCCTGGTACCCTGTTCATATTGTGTTGACACAAGTCAGTCAGAATAATTTTTGCCACCAGGGGAATTCAAACGCAGGATCCTAATGCTGCTAGGCAAGCCTGCTTGTCACTATGGCCCCCATGGACCCATCTCTTGTTCTGAAACTCCTGCACCCCCCCCCCCCCCCCCCCCCCCCCAAACACCCATTGTGATTGTTCTTAAAGCTGGCTTATAATTTTCATTGTGGATTTATTTTGTAGATAATGATTTTCTTTGTGGATTTATTTTGTAGATAATGATTTTCTTTGTGGATTTATTTTGTAGATAATGATTTTCTTTGTGGATTTATTGTTTTGAATCCAGGCTGTATCTGAGAATTATTCTTGGCCAGGTCAACGTATCATTGCTGACAAAGGAAGCCAAGTGAGTCCGGTGTACATTGTGCTGTCCTCAACTTCTATCTGGTTTCTGTAACCCACTGAAAAGTGGTTCACATCCCATGCATGTAGGACTTCTTCTAGTTACCTGTAGTGATACATACATTCAAGTTGGTTACCATGAACCCACAAGGAAAAAGAAATGAATTAATCAAGTAACAAAAAGTATTGTGGACGGCACTCATAGAAAGAAGTAGAAAGATAGAAGAACACACTTGACAACATAAAAATCGAAAGCTATAGTTACCGTGCCGGGAATTGAACCTGTCACCTCCAGACGGCGTCTGCGCCTCGCCATGAATACAAGTGCACTAAGATACATGGTCAACTAGGCACCCCCCAAAAAAGGTGTCTCATTGGCCATAACTATCGTACAGCTTGAAATCCACGACTATGGAATACAGACAGAATTCATTTCAACCCATTGAAATGGCACCATAGGTTACAGAAATTTATATTAACGAAGCAAATGTCGAATAACAATCACAGCAACAATTTACGAACACTGTAGACCTTATTGCCTTGTCTAGAATACACAAACATTTAAGAAAGGTATTTGATTGGTAGGTTCCGGTGTGTATACGTCATTCCTATAAATAAACAGAGGGGGGAACCATTTGAGGCCGTTAAAGATTATGAATTAATCAAGTAACAGAAAGTATTGTGGACGGCACTCATAGAAAGAAGTAGAAAGATAAAAGAACACACTAGACAACATAAAAATTGAAAGCTATAGTTACCGTGCCGGGAATTGAACCTGTCAAAGAAAGAGAAATAAAGGCAGTCTAGAATTACAAATTAAATATGGAGGAGAGAACTTCTTATAGTCCGTGCCATGTGGCATTTGTAGTCATGTCTATACACAACCTTCTGTCTCGTATACTTTCAGTCACTTCTTACGCAGATGATCCTCCTTAGTCCGTGCCATGTGGCATTGGTAGTCATGTCTATACACAACCTTCTGTCGCGTATACTTCCAGTCAGTTCTGACACAGATGATCCGCCATGATGTGAGACTGTCCAGTATCTTCTCACTTGGCCTCCCTCTTCCTCTTTTCCCCTCCAACTTTCCAGATGTCATGATGTACTCCAGTCCTTTCCATCTCACGACATCTCCAGAGAACACAGTCTCTCTCCGATGTGGGCAACCAGCTGTCTTTGTGGGTCAGTAAGTCTCCCTGAGGACATCCCCATCACTTTCTCTGTCTGTCCAAAGCACTTTCATCACTCTTCTGTTAAACCACATCTCGCTCCTTCAAAACAATCCGTCGCCAATCGTCCAGCTACCCATTATTCACTCTTTACACAAGGATAGGATTGATATAGCTCTTGAGAATTCTCCCTGTTGTCTCAGTTGACAGTAAAAGTCTACATAGAATATTCTTCACTTTAAATACTTGTGTACTCTAATAACGGCAGATGGAAGATCTTTTACAGAGGTCATTGCAGACTAACTTAAGCAAAGAAGAGAATTTGAGTGAACAAAAAGATGAATAATGACATCGAGTGGGCGTTATAGGTGCTCTTTGTGGTAAAGTGATCAAGCTGTTTGCCTTGTGGTGTAAATGTTATGGTTTCATTTCATGGGTGTATCATTCGTTTCAAGGGTGTAATTTTTAGGGAAATTCCTGGGGGTCAGGTTAGATCTACAGTCTCATCATGCGGATGACCTGTGGAGAGAGAATTAGCCTTATGGGATAGAAGCTTGAGCAGTGAAGTGGAGGTCTCCACTCTATCTTAACTTTAAGGAAAAAGATGGTACAACCTGGCATGCGTTGGTTGAGGGTCTATGCTCCTTTGAGAGATATAGGACACAACACGAAGCTAACAATGATACGGTTGTGGTATACCTTTGCTGTTTAATAAGCATATGACAGCACATATTCCAGTGTCATCAGGTGTCATATTGCGTATGACAGTGGTTTTGGCAGGTGACATAATATATTGATTGACCTAGATGAGTCTGAGAGGTGATTGCTGGGCTGGGTAACATGAAACAGATGTTGCCCTGAATGTAACTACACAAGAAAATCAATTTGTCATCATCTGTTGTGGGCCTGGTCATGTGATACACAACACCAGCCCACCATGTCTCAGTAGATCATGTGTGTGTGTGTGTGTATGTATGCATGCAGTGCTGGATTTAGGCATACGGTTAGCTTGGGGCCTCATAATCTGCAGGGGTCTCAATAAATTCCTGTTTGTTTCTTTACTGATTCACATTTTTTGGGGGGAGAGGATGGGGAAGGGGTGATATACAGGGTTATTCAAAATTATGGATTCACTTTCATTCATGTATATTTCCTTGGATAAACAATATTTATTAATAATATACATACAAGGCAGAGGGGAAGATCTTTCAGTTTACAAACTTACAATAGAGGTTATAGATGTTCAATATGGCTGCCATCTGCAGCTCAGCAGTAGCCGAGCTCATCCCACACATGAAGAGGCATCTCTTGTGCAACTGAATTCCCTCAAGTGGTTGGTTACGCAACTGCGCTCTAATGGTTGTATTGATTGTCCCTGTTTCTGCACTATGCAGCATTAAAGATTGTGTTGATCCTTGGTAACTTGCATCAGGTGATCTCTCTCTCTCTCTCCAGGTTCATCTACAAGAAGGACTATGAAACATTCAAGCTGACAGTCAGTTACATCATCCTGGCTTTGGCCTTCCTCTCTGGCTTTTTGGTCAGCTCTAGGTCAGTGCTTTGCATTTGAATTAGGTCATTCCTGTGTGGGTTCCTTGACCCCGTTGTGGGGAAAACTAGAATAGACCCACCGCCTACCCAAAAAAGCATGTCATAGATGTTGACTGATTGGGAGCTTCCTTTGAACTCAGAGGTCATCTGCCTGAGAGACAAGGAACCAACAGTCTGCATTCACATGGGTCAGATCTGTAAAATGGATGTGCATGCAACATTCAGGTTCAGGAAGTGGACCAACAAACAGCTTTCCACCGGAGCTTACAACTGGTGAACGTGAAGAAGAAAATGAATAAGTTTGGTGGACATGGAGGGAAGTGGGTGGCTCAGGGTAAATGCCTTATAAAATGTAGAATGAGGGTTCTACACTTGATAACATCATGGATTTTTAAATATTGACTGTGAAAAACCTACTGTAGCCTGGAGGAAGGGTATTGATCACCTTGGAAAGCAGGTTATTGATCCCTTTAGCAAGCAGGTTATTGATCACTTTAGCAAGCAGGTTATTGATCACCTTAGCAAGCAGGTTATTGATCACCTTAGCAAGCAGGTTATTGATCACCTTAGCAAGCAGGTTATTGATCACCTTAGCAAGCAGGTTATTGATCACTTGGAAAGCAGGTTATTGATCACTTTAGCAAGCAGGTTATTGATCACTTTAGCAAGCAGGTTATTGATCACTTTAGCAAGCAGGTTATTGATCACTTTAGCAAGCAGGTTATTGATCACTTTAGCAAGCAGGTTATTGATCCCTTTAGCAAGCAGATTATTGATCACTTTAGCAAGCAGGTTATTGATCACTTTAGCAAGCAGGTTATTGATCACTTTAGCAAGCAGGTTATTGATCACTTTAGCAAGCAGATTATTGATCACTTTAGCAAGCAGGTTATTGATCCCTTTAGCAAGCAGGTTATTGATCACTTTAGCAAGCAGGTTATTGATCACTTTAGCAAGCAGATTATTGATCACTTTAGCAAGCAGGTTATTGATCCCTTTAGCAAGCAGGTTATCGATCACTTTAGCAAGCAGGTTATTGATCACTTTAGCAAGCAGATTATTGATCACTTTAGCAAGCAGGTTATTGATCACTTTAGCAAGCAGGTTATTGATCACTTTAGCAAGCAGGTTATTGATCACTTTAGCAAGCAGGTTATTGATCCCTTTAGCAAGCAGGTTATTGATCCCTTTAGCAAGCAGGTTATTGATCACTTTAGCAAGCAGGTTATTGATCACTTTAGCAAGCAGGTTATTGATCACTTTAGCAAGCAGATTATTGATCACTTTAGCAAGCAGATTATTGATCACTTTAGCAAGCAGGTTATTGATCACTTTAGCAAGCAGGTTATTGATCACCTTAGCAAGCAGGTTATTGATCACTTTAGCAAGCAGGTTATTGATCACTTTAGCAAGCAGGTTGTTGATCACTTTAGCAAGCAGGTTGTTGATCACTTTAGCAAGCAGGTTGTTGATCACTTTAGCAAGCAGGTTATTGATCACCTTAGCAAGCAGGTTATTGATCACTTGGAAAGCAGGTTATTGATCACTTTAGCAAGCAGGTTATTGATCACTTTAGCAAGCAGGTTATTGATCACTTTAGCAAGCAGGTTATTGATCACTTTAGCAAGCAGGTTGTTGATCACTTTAGCAAGCAGGTTATTGATCACCTTAGCAAGCAGGTTGTTGATCCCTTTAGCAAGCAGAGTTAACATTTTAGTCACAGAAAGTATATGTTAAACTGTTGTGTTAAATGTGGATATATGTTAACCCCTTATTTTAGATGTGAGTAGATGATAAATCATAGTGTTCAGGTGTATGTAGATGTTAAACATTTGTGTTTAGGTGTGGGTAAATGTTAAACCTTTGTGTTTAGTTGTGAATAGATGTTAACCCTTTGTGTTTAGATGTGAGTAGATGTTAAACCTTTGTGTTTAGGTGTGAGTAGATGATAAACCTTTGTGTTTAGGTGTGAGTAGATGTTGAACCTTTGTGTTTAGGTGTGAGTAGATGATAAACCTTTGTGTTTAGGTGTGACTAGATGTTAAACCTTTGTGTTTAGATGTGAGTAGATGATAAACCTTTGTGTTTAGGTGTGAGTAGATGATAAACCTTTGTGTTTAGGTGTGAGTAGATGTTGAACCTTTGTGTTTAGGTGTGAGTAGATGTTAAACCTTTGTGTTTAGGTGTGAGTAGATATTAAACCTTTGTGTTTAGGTGTGAGTAGATATTAAACCTTTGTGTTTAGGTGTGAGTAGATATTTAACCTTTGTGTTTAGGTGTGAGTAGATGTTAAACCTTTGTGTTTAGGTGTGAGTAAATGTTAAACCTTTGTGTTCAGGTATGAATAAATGTTAAATTCTTGTGTTTAGATGTAAGTCAATGTTGAACCGTAATGTTCAAGTGTACATAGAGGTTAAACTGTTGTGTTCAGGCGTAAGTAGAGGTTAAACCCTTGTGTTTTGGTGTAAGTAGAGATTAAACTCTTGTGTTAAGGTGTAAGTAGATGTTAAATCCTTGTGTTAAGGTGTAAGTAAATGTCAAACCCTTGTGTTCAGGTATATATAGATGTTAAACCTTTGTGTTAAGGTGTGAGTAAATGTTAAACCTTTGTGTTCAGGTATGAGTAGAGGTTAAATCTCTGTGTTCAGGCGTGAATAAATGTTAAATTCTTGTGTTCAGGTATTAGTGAATGTTAGACCCTTGTGTTCAGGTGTAAGTTGATGTTTAACCCTAATGTTTTAGTGTAAGTAAATGATAAAACCCTTGACCTTATCTTCTCTTGTTGTAGATGGTGTGATGCTGTGCTCAACTTTCTGTTGGTCTGGTACTACTGTACACTGACTATCAGAGAGAGCATCCTTCGAGTCAACGGCTCCAGGTATGTACCGACTTGACCAGGTATGTGCCGGCTTGTCGATGTATGTGCCGGCCTTGTCCAGGTATTTACTGGCTTAGCCAGGTATGTGATGGCTTGGCCAGGTATATGCCGGCCTGTCCAGGTATGTGCTGGCTTGTCCAGGTATGTGCCGGCTTGTCCAGGTACGTGCTGGCTTGTCCAGGTATGTGCCGGCTTGTCCAGGTGTGCCGGCTTGTCCAGGTATGTGCTGGCTTGTCCCTGTATGTGCCGGCTTGTCCAGGTGTGCCGGTTTGTCCAGGTATGTGCCGGCTTGTCTTGTATTTGATAGCTTGCGCAATATGGGCCATGTTTTTTACTTTTTGTTGAAATGCAACCACAGCTACCAACACAAGCGCTACACCTAAAAAAACTGAATATGAAAGCAAGAAGTGGCCAAAGATTAGTGGCATTAAAGAGCTACGTCAACACATAATGACAGTAGTCAGTCCTACCCATCCAGCAGGGGAACTCAGATTGATCCATCCAAAGTTACTTCATGCCCACAGTGGAAGTTATTGATGATGATGATGAATCCATGATTTTAACATTCTTTCCATGAAATTCAATTTGCTTAATCCATGATTTTAACTTGACAAATTCTAGGATTTCTATATTATGAATGCCAGGATTTCCACTGTATGAATGCCAGGATTTTCACTTGATGAATTCCTGGATTTCCATTTGTTGAATTCCAGAATTTTCTACTTGATGAATGCCAGGATTTCCACTTGATGAATTCCAGGATGTCCACTTTATGAATTCCAAGATGTCCACTTGATAATTCCAGGATGTCCACTTGATGAATTCCAAGATTTCTACACCATGAATGCCAGGAATTCCACTTGATGAATGTCAGGATTTTAACTTGATCTTTGCAGTTTAAACTGGTTAATACCTAATGTCAGGATTCTAACTTAATCTTTGCAGTTTAAACTGGTTAATACCTAATGTCAGGATTCTAACTTAATCTTTGCAGTTTAAACTGGTTAATACCTAATGTCAGCTTGGTGGAGCTAGAGTTCTAACTGGATACAATTATTCTCTTTCTGTGCAGGATCAAAGGCTGGTGGTTGACGCATCATTTCATATCCACGGTTTGTGCAGCCATCAGTTTGATCTGGTAAGTGTACAGTTAGTTTGATCTGGTAAGTGTACATCAGTTTGATCTGGTAAGTGTACATCAGTTTGATCTGGTAAGTGTACACTTGGGTGCCCCACCTGGGGATAATTATGGTGTCTTTATTCAACATTACTTCACTAGGGTCAGTGTGGAACAGTTATAGCTGGGGTCAGTTTGAGACAGTTACAGCTGGGGTCAGTATGAGACAGTTACAGCTGGGGTCAGTGTGAGACAGTTACAGCTGGGGTCAGTGTGAGACAGTTACAGCTGGGGTCAGTGTGAGACAGTTACAGCTGGGGTCAGTGTGAGGCATTTACAGCTGGGGTCAATGTGAGATAGTTACAGCTGGGGTCAGTGTGAGATATTTACAGCTGGGGTCAATGTGAGACATTTACAGCTGGGGTCAATGTGAGACATTTACAGCTGGGGTCAATTTGAGATAGTTACAGCTGGGGTCAATGTGAGATAGTTACAGCTGGGGTCAGTGTGAGATATTTACAGCTGGGGTCAATGTGAGATAGTTACAGCTGGGGTCAGTGTGAGGCATTTACAGCTGGGGTCAATGTGAGATAGTTACAGCTGGGGTCAATGTGAGATCGTTACAGCTGGGGTCAGTGTGAGGCATTTACAGCTGGGGTCAATGTGAGATAGTTACAGCTGGGGTCAGTGTGAGGCATTTACAGCTGGGGTCAATGTGAGACATTTACAGCTGGGGTCAATGTGAGACATTTACAGCTGGGGTCAATGTGAGACATTTACAGCTGGGGTCAATGTGAGACATTTACAGCTGGGGTCAATGTGAGATAGTTACAGCTGGGGTCAGTGTGAGGCATTTACAGCTGGGGTCAATGTGAGGCATTTACAGCTGGGGTCAATGTGAGACATTTACAGCTGGGGTCAGTGTGAGATATTTACAGCTGGGGTCAATGTGAGATAGTTACAGCTGGGGTCAATGTGAGATAGTTACAGCTGGGGTCAGTGTGAGGCATTTACAGCTGGGGTCAATGTGAGATAGTTACAGCTGGGGTCAGTGTGAGATATTTACAGCTGGGGTCAATGTGAGACATTTACAGCTGGGGTCAATGTGAGACATTTACAGCTGGGGTCAATGTGAGACATTTACAGCTGGGGTCAATGTGAGATAGTTACAGCTGGGGTCAGTGTGAGACATTTACAGCTGGGGTCAATGTGAGACAGTTACAGCTGGGGTCAGTGTGAGGCATTTACAGCTGGGGTCAATGTGAGATAGTTACAGCTGGGGTCAGTGTGAGATATTTACAGCTGGATCAATGTGAGACATTTACAGCTAGGGTCAATGTGAGATATTTACAGCTAGGGTCAGTGTGAGATATTTACAGCTGGATCAATGTGAGACATTTACAGCCAGGGTCAATGTGAGATATTTACAGCTAGGGTCAATGTGAGATATTTACAGCTGGATCAATGTGAGACATTTACAGCCAGGGTCAATGTGAGATATTTACAGCTAGGGTCAATGTGAGACTTTTACAGCTAGGGTCAATGTGAGACATTTACAGCTAGGGTCAATGTGAGACATTTACAGCTGGGGTCAATGTGAGATAGTTACAGCTGGGGACAGTTACAGACAGTGTCAGTGAGCCTGGTCATCACGGGATCCTTGTACTAGAACTTTTTGCCCCCGCTGTTTCACTAGCAAAATTATATATTTTTATACTTGAATAAATTATGTATGTGTGTATATGTATGTGTATGAAATGTTGCTTATATGTATATAAGTATGTTATTTTATTTGCAGGCCTGATGGATACACATACTCGATGTTTCGATACCAGCATATTCTGTTTGTCATCTATCTCAGTACGTACACACATCTGTTCGTTTGTTCATTAATGTAGACCATTTACTTCTGACAGACATATGTAGAACATTTAGTTCTAGCAGCCATATTTAAAACATTTAGTTCTGGCAGACAAATGTAGAACATTTAGTTAGGACAGATATATTTAGAACATTTGGTTCTGACAAACATATGTAGAAGATTTATTTCTGACAGACATATAAACATTTAATTCTGGCAGACATATGTGACACATTAAGTTCTGACAGTCATATATAGAACATTTAGTTCTGACAGACATATATATAACATTTAGTTCTGACAGACATATGTAGAACATTTATTTCTGACAGACATATAAACATTTAATTTTGGCAGACATATGTAGAACATTTAGTTCTGACAGACATATAAACATTTAATTCTGGCAGACATATGTGACACATTAAGTTCTGACAGTCATATATAGAACATTTAGTTCTGACAGACATATATAGAACATTTAGTTCTGACAGACATATGTAGAACATTTATTTCTGACAGACATATAAACATTTAATTCTGGCAGACATATGTAGAACATTTAGTTCTGACAGACATATAAACATTTAATTCTGGCAGACATATGTGACACATTAAGTTCTGACAGTCATATTTAGAACATTTAGTTCTGACTAATATATTTGGAACATTTGGTTTTGACTGAAATATGCAGAAAATTTAGTTGTGACAGACATATGAGGAATACTGAGTTCTGACAGACATGTAGACCATTAAGTTCTGGCAGACATATGAGGAACATTTAGCTCTGACATACATATGTATGACATTTAGTTTTGACATACATGTTTGGAACATTTAGTTCTGACAGACATTTGGTATGTTTTGTTCTGACAGACTTATGTAGAACATTTAGCTCTTACAGATATATGTAGAACATTTAGCTCTTACATATATATGTAGAACATTTAGCTCTTACATATATATGTAGAACATTTAGTTTTGACAGACATATGTATCACATTAAGTTCTAATTACATTGTGAAAGAACAGTGATTAGCCTCCTGAATCAAACATTGACACTTTAGGGTTGCTTGTTTGATTGTCTGTTGGGCTGCTTGTTTGATTGCCTGTTGGATTACTTGTGTGATTGTCTGTTGGATTGCTTGTTTGATTGCCTGTTGGATTGCTTGTTTGATTGCCTGTTGGGTTGCATGTTTGATTTCCTGTTGGGTTGTTTGTTTGATTGCTTGTTTGATTGCCTGGAGCCATCTTCCGACAGGTTTTGTGTATGTCCTCCAGTACTACTACCAGAGTGGCTGTCTCTATCGGCTGCGATCTCTTGGCGAGAGTCATGAGATGGACATCACTGTGGGTAAGTCAGCTGGTTCCACTCCAGGTTTCTGTTGGACTTTCTATCTGTGTGTTTTTCTGTGTTTACTGCCTGTGTCCGACTTGTTAGGGCGGTGTGGTACTCTAGGTTTTTAAGCCGAAGTGGTCAGATCACATGACTTGTGTAATTGTCCTGGATTGTAAGGTTAGGATTTCGTGTTCATCCCCAACAGAAAAACTCCTTCATCTCACCAAGGATTTGATCCTGCATCTCCTGCTTGAAAGCTCAGCAGTCTTAACCACTCTGCCAGCTGCTTGAGGCACCTCGGATGTCACTGCTCCTCGAGGCACCACAAGGGTTGCTGCTGCTTGAGTCACCCCAAGAGTTGCTGCTCCTTGAGACATCTCAGATGTTGCTGCTCCTTGAGACATCTCAGATGTCGCTGCTCCTTGAGTCATCTCAAATGTTGCTGCTCCTTGAGTCATCTTAAGGGTTGCTGCTCCTTGAGGCACCTCAAGGGTTGTTGCTCCTTGAGTCATCTCAAATGTTGCTGCTCCTTGAGTCATCTTAAGGGTTGAGGCACCTCAAGGGTTGTTGCTCCTTGAGGCATCTCAGATGTTGTTGCTCCTTGAGGCATCTCAGATGTCGCTGCTCCTTGAGTCATCTCAGATGTTGGTGCTCCTTGAGTCATCTCAGATGTTGCTGCTCCTTGAGTCATCTCAGATGTTGCTGCTTGAGGCATCTCAGATGTTGCTGCTTGAGGCATCTCAGATGTTGCTGCTTGAGGAATCTCAGATGTTGCTGCTTGAAGCATCTCAGATGTTGCTGCTTGAGTCATCTCAGATGTTGCTGCTTGAGGCATCTCAGATGTTGCTGCTCCTTGAGGCATCTCAGATGTTGCTGCTCCTTGAGTCATCTCAGATGTTGCTGCTCCTTGAGGCATCTCAGATGTTGCTGCTCCTTGAGGCACCTCAGATGTTGCTGCTCCTTGAGACATCTCAGATGTTGCTGCTCCTTGAGGCATCTCAGATGTTGCTGCTCCTTGAGTCATCTCAGATGTTGCTGCTCCTTGAGGCATCTCAGATGTTGCTGCTCCTTGAGGCACCTCAGATGTTGCTGCTCCTTGAGACATCTCAGATGTTGCTGCTCCTTGAGACATCTCAGATGTTGGTGCTCCTTGAGTCATCTCAGATGTTGCTGCTCCTTGAGACATCTCAGATGTTGCTGCTGCTTGACTCATCTCAGATGTTGGTGCTCCTTGAGGCATCTCAAATGTTGCTGCTGCTTGACTCATCTCAGATGTTGGTGCTCCTTGAGACATCTCAGATGTTGGTGCTCCTTGAGACATCTCAGATGTTGCTGCTCCTTGAGACATCTCAGATGTTGCTGCTCCTTGAGGCATCTCAGATGTTGCTGCTCCTTGAGGCATCTCAGATGTTGCTGCTTGAGGCATCTCAGATGTTGCTGCTTGAGTCACCTCAGATGTTGCTGCTCCTTGAGACATCTCAGATGTTGCTGCTCCTTGAGACATCTCAGATGTTGCTGCTCCTTGAGGCACCTCAGATGTTGCTGCTCCTTGAGGCACCTCAGATGTTGCTGCTGCTTGACTCATCTCAGATGTTGCTGCTCCTTGAGACATTTCAGATGTTGGTGCTCCTTGAGACATCTCAGATGTTGCTGCTCCTTGAGGCATCTCAGATGTTGGTGCTGCTTGACTCATCTCAGATGTTGCTGCTGCTCCTTGAGACATCTCAGATGTTGCTGCTGCTTGACTCATCTCAGATGTTGCTGCTGCTCCTTGAGACATCTCAGATGTTGGTGCTCCTTGAGACATCTCAGATGTTGCTGCTCCTTGAGGCATCTCAGATGTTGCTGCTCCTTGAGACACCTCAGATGCTGCTGCTGCTTGACTCATCTCAGATGTTGCTGCTGCTCCTTGAGACATCTCAGATGTTGCCGCTGCTTGACTCATCTCAGATGTTGCTGCTGCTTGACTCATCTCAGATGTTGCTGCTCCTTGGGACACCTCAGATGTTGCTGCTCCTTGAGACACCTCAGATGTTGCTGCTCCTTGAGACACCTCAGATGTTGCTGCTGCTTGACTCATCTCAGATGTTGCTGCTGCTTGACTCATCTCAGATGTTGCTGCTCCTTGAGACACCTCAGATATTGCTGCTCCTTGAGACACCTCAGATGTTGCTGCTGCTTGACTCATCTCAGATGTTGCTGCTGCTTGACTCATCTCAGATGTTGCTGCTCCTTGAGACATCTCAGATGTTGCTACTCCTTGAGACATCTCAGATGTTGCTGTTCCTTGAGTCACCTCAGATGTTGCTGATCCTTGAGACATCTCAGATGTTGCTGTTCCTTGAGTCATCTCAGATGTTGCTGTTAATTGAGTCATCTCAGATGTTGCTGCTCCTTGAGACATCTCAGATGTTGCTGCTCCTTGAGACATCTCAGATGTTGCTGCTCCTTGAGACACCTCAGATGTTGCTGCTCCTTGAGGCACCTCAGATGTTGCTGCTCCTTGAGACATCTCAGATGTTGCTGCTGCTTGACTCATCTCAGATGTTGGTGCTCCTTGAGACATCTCAGATGTTGCTGCTCCTTGAGACACCTCAGATGTTGCTGCTCCTTGAGGCACCTCAGATGTTGCTGCTCCTTGAGACATCTCAGATGTTGCTGCTGCTTGACTCATCTCAGATGTTGGTGCTCCTTGAGACATCTCAGATGTTGCTGCTCCTTGAGGCACCTCAGATGTTGCTGCTCCTTGAGGCATATACTTGTTGGAGGATTGGTCATTTCTTTGTCCCCCCTATAATGGGGCCCCAGAACACACAGAGTTGACAACAGACCGGCAAGGTTTGTGTGTGGCATACCTCGGTAACCATAGGAATACATTTGTTAAAAATAGGTTAGGTCACTCATATGCCAGGATGGCTAAGTGACAAGATCTGTGACCTATTTATGTGTTGTTGACACCCTGAACATTTGTGATTTACAAAATGTGTATATATTTTTGTTGTCCACAGAGGGCTTTATGTCCTGGATGTGGAAGGGGCTGTCATTTCTGCTTCCATTCCTCTACTTTGGCTACGTAAGTTGTTTGATTTGCTGGTCTTCTGTTTGTTGCAGATGGCCCAGTTGTTGTTGTCTTGATATGGCTTTGTTGATCTTTTTAAACTAGAAAGTTTTTGTATTGTGCCATGGGGCCACTATGGAACCACGATGTTCAACTTAAGTCACAACTTGAGTTGAGTCACAACTTGAGTTGAGTCACAACTTGAGTCACAACTTGAGTCGAATCACAACTTGAGTCGAGTCACAACTTGAGTTGAGTCACAACTTTAGTTGAGTCACAACTTGAGTTGAGTCACAACTTGAGTTGAGTCACAACTTGAGTTGAGTCACAACTTCAGGACTAGAAATGGAAAGATGGAGACATTTAGATTGTTTAAGACATTTAGATTGTTTGAGACATTTAGATTGTTAGAATTGAAAGATATAGTACAGTTGTGCCTCCATACCTTGGGGTAGAAAAGTAATTTAAAAAAATTATGTTATGTTTTAAGTACCACTGCGTTCCAGCTTTCTAGAGGAGACAAGTCAAGGGCTCTCTTCATGTCAGTGGTGCATCCGGCACTTTAGGCTAGACCCATATATAGACTTGGCACTCTGTGAGTGATGTGATCAACATTTTGTCAGCTGCCTTTTTCCCCCCAAGATATCACCTGGTTTTAGACTGGGTTGATCTGGGAGCTGAGATCTGTTTTGAAGAAAAGAAATCTTTCTATCTTTGTACCCCAGAGTAGAAGGGAAAACTGCTGTATCTTTATCCCAGAGTAGAGGGGAAAACTGCTGTATCTATATCCCAGAGAAGAAGGAAAAACTACTGTATCTATATCCTAAAGAAGGGAAAACTGCCGTATCTATATCCCAGAGTAGAAGGGTAGACTGCTATCTCAATATCCCAGTGTAAAAGGGAAGACTGCTATCTCTGTATCCCAGGGTAAAAGGGAAGACTGCTATCTCTGTATCCCATGGTAAAAGAGAAGACTGTTATCTCCATACCCCAGAGTAGAAAGGAAAACTGCTACCTTGATGTCCCCGGATAGAAGGAAAAACTGAGATTCTCAATATCCCATTGACGAAGACATTTTAAGAATATTTGTAAACAAGTATGAACCCTAACTAGGAAGGAAAGATGAAGAGAAAGAAAACAGGCCACCTCACCTCATGTACTGGCATGCTAGTTAGATGGTGCCACTTGCATATTGTAGATTGAAGAGCACTCACTGATTAACATGGAAAGTATCTCACCAATAGAGAGGTACCTTTATCTTGTTTATGTTTTAAAGAAAGGAATGAATGGAGAATTGACATCACTGCAATCTATCTCATCCACCTCTTCATCAGCCAGTGGAGACTTTCCAAACTGATGGTATCAGTGGCAGCCTGATTACAAACAAGCCATTGTGTCTTTCCTCCTGTGTGTTAAAATGTTTGTACGAAACAAGGGGACATAAACTAGACAAGATATTAAAATGTTTGTAACAAAACAAGGGGACATAAACTAGACAAGATATTGAAATGTTTGTAACAAAACAAGGGGACATAAACTAGACAAGATATTGAAATTTTTGTAACAAAACAAGGGGACATAAACTAGACAAGATATTGAATTTTTTGTAACAAAACAAGGGGACATAAAGTAGACAAGATATTGAAATGTTTGTACGAAACAAGGGAACATAAACTAGAAAAGATATTGAAATGTTTGTAACGAAACAAGGGTACTTAAACTAGACAAAATATTAAAATGTTTGTATGAAACAAGGGGACATAAACTAGACAAGATATTGAAATGTTTGTAACGAAACAAGAGTACAAAAACTAGACAAGGTATTGAAATGTTTGTAACAATACAAGGGGACATGAACTAGACGTGCTATTTGTTTCTTTGTGTTTTGCAGTTTTTCCAGCTTTACAACGCATACGTCTTGTTCCAGTTGTCTCAACATCCACTGTGTGAGGAGTGGCAGGTGAGAATTTTGTTATTGCAGACTTGTTTTGTCAGTGACGGGTGGCAGGTGAGAATTTCGTTATTGTAGTCTTGTTTTGTCAGTGACGAGTGGCAGATGAGAATTTTGTTGTTACAGTCTTGTTTTGTCAGTGACCAGTGGCAGATGAGAATTTTGTTGTTGCAGTCTTTTTTTGTCAGTGACCAGTGACATGTGTGAATTTTGTTGTTGCAGTCTTGTTTTGTCAGTGAGGAGTGACAGGTGTGAATTTTTTTATTGCGGTCTTGTTTTGTCAGTGACGAGTGGCAGGTGAGAATTTTTTTATTGTAGTCTTGTTTTGTCAGTGACTAGTGGTAGGTGAGAATTTTGTTGTTACTATCTTGTTTTGTCAGTGACGAGTGACAGGTGTGAATTTTGTTGTTGCAGTCTTGTTTTGTCAGTGACGAGTGACAGGTGTGAATTTTTTGTCAGTCATGTTTGTGTCAGTGTAACAAGTGGCAGCTGATAATTATTCCTGTTGTCCCAGTTAATGTTCTGTCTGTGTGATGAGTGGCACGTGGGACTATCTTGTTTTTGTCTGTGTGATGAGTGGCACGTGGGACTATCTTGTTTTTGTCTGTGTGATGAGTGGCAAGTGGGACTATCTTGTTTTTGTCTGTGTGATGAGTGGCAAGTGGGACTATCTTGTTTTTGTCTGTGTGATGAGTGGCAAGTGGGACTATCTTGTTTTTGTCTGTGTGATGAGTGGCAAGTGGGACTATCTGGTTTTTGTCTGTGTGATGAGTGGTAAGGGGGACTATCTTGTTTTTGTCTGTGTGATGAGTGGCAAGTGGGACTATCTTGTTTTTGTCTGTGTGATGAGTTGCAAGTGGGACTATCTTGTTTCTGTCGGTGTGACGAGTGGCAGGTAGGACTATCTTGTTTCTGTTGGTGTGACGAGTGGCCAATGACAATTGTCGCGTTGTCACGGTTGTCTTTTTTGCCAGTATGATAAGTGTCTGGTGAGACTGCATTGTTTTTGTCAGCGTCGCACAGCCGTCACGCAGACGTCGCACAGCAGCACCGGTGCTGGACCACACATGGTGATGAGCCAGGACCAGGGCTCATGCTTGTCAAGACCTGTCTGCCCTTCTGTTCGCTCAGGATCAGCTTTTTCTTAAATATTGGAGTGCATCTGCCCCAGAGGCAAGAAACCAACATTCTGCACATGAATAAATAGTTCTGTAAAACTGAGGTACACGCAACACACAGGTCCTGGAATGAGGCCAAAGTCTAGACGCTAGCAGAGAATCGTGACTTTTGCCGCAGTTGACAGCCGACCTAGACCTATATTTTGCAGTCTAGTCAGCACTCTGTGGGTGAACGTCTTTACTTCCCAGGATATGCAGCAGATATTTGTCAGCAAATGAAGATGGTGAAGATGTTAAAAAAAAAAAAAGACAATTCAAACCATGAAGAAGAAGTTCAAAATATATTGATGAAAGAAAAAGTATCAGAGCAAAGAAATTGAACAAATAAAGAAAACAATACAGAAGAACAGGCGTGACTGCCATCCTATGGCTTTTAGGGTTGAACCTGCACCAAGTCACATTTTGTTTCCCAGACTTGATCTCAGCTGCCAGGCTGACTTAGCTTAAAATGGACGCCAGGTAATTATTTCCTGAAGTAAAAGCAGCTGGTATGAGGTTGATCCATCACCAATTGGTCTATAAAAATGTAAGTCTATCATTATATACCAGATGTGGCAGAGGTGAACATCATATACCACATGTGGCAGGGATGTAAGCAGATCCTCTAGTTCAGGTTCCATGTAGAAGAAATAAAAAGTCTACCACGTTGAACCTACTGTTGTCTCAGGTAATATTTATGGTCTTGGGTAATTGTGCCAAATTCATGGCTAAATTATTCACCTGCCAAGAGAATGACTCTTGTAGTGTAGCTGCGATCCTGCTCCCTCCATAACCACCGATTGGAGACTGATTCACCCATCGACAGACTGACCCTGTCACCAATGAAGGCTCCTTTAAGACAGAATGATTAATATTCTGCTCAAAATATAATGCAATGTTCCTAAAAGGAACGTAATGTTGTTTTGATTTTCACATTCAGAATTTAGGTCATTAAATGAGTTCAACTGTGTAAGTTGTACACAAGAATATCTCAATCAATCTGTTGACTGTTCTTTTGCATCTGGATCTGGATGATGTTTAGGCATACTGGCTTTTCCATCCAGGTTCATTGCTAAAGATTTCATCCACTTCCATTCTTCTCTGTGGTTGGCCTTCTCTTTCCAGTTGGTGACACCAAGTGTGTGTGTAGGTCTGTCTGGACATTATCTCTCCATCGTCTTCTTGGTCTGCCTCACAGTTCCTTGTGTATACAGTTTTCATCTCTCTGTCATCTGACGTTCTCTCAATATGCCCCAGCTATTTCAGTCTGTTAGTTCTCATGATGCCAGTGATCAATGGATTCAAACAGATTATGAATTTTGTTATCGCTTTTCACTCTCCATTCCCCGCTGTTTGCATCTTTGTTGGATCCAAAGATTGGTCGTAAGACGATAACTGTTTGTTGGTGTTTTGTTTTTTCAGTGGCGTATATGATTTCTACTTTTTGCCAGGTTCTTGCTCTCAGTGCCATCCACCTGACGCTGTTTCTGGGCAATGTCTCAACCACCAGCCTGGTTGTGGTCAACAAGGTCCGCTCAGATGGTATTCTGGTGCCTTATCTGAAGAACAAGTACAAATTTGGCCTTGTGGCCAACTTCCTTAACCAAGGTCACGACCACGCCGAGTGACCCATGTCAGCATTCCCATGATGCCCCCTCGCTGTGTGTGATGTTGAATGTTTTTGTAAATTGTTTCTAAATCTTGACTTGTAAATAATCTGCTGTTGGCTGTTTTTTTTTTCTTTTTTTCTTTATTGGGTTAGTGGGAATACTAGAGTGTCTGTTTAGAGTTTTGCTTATTGTAGGACTGTAAAACAGGTGAATAAATTAAGAATTTTACTGATTGAAGGGCTGTGATACAAATGTAGATAGATTCAAATTTTACTGATTGTAAGAATGTAAAACACAGAAATATTGCTGTATTTGAGTTTGATTGTTTATAGGAATTTACAAAAAAATGGTAGTAGAGCTAGATTCAATTTTTAATAAAAAAATAGGAAAACGGAATACATCTTAGTGATGGGAAAAATAGAGAGAGAAAGAAAAGATGCCGGACAGTTTGACATCATGTCATAGAAGATCATCTGTGTCAGAAATGACTGAAAGTACAAGAGGCAGAAGGTTGCAGATAAACATGACAACCAATGTTTGCAGTAAGTTTACATTAAAACTGAATGTTTAGAGTTGTACCGACTGTAAATCTGTAAAACAGAAACATAACTATATCATGGTTTACTGACTGTACAGTGTTGAAAAGAAAAAAACAACATGGCTCCAATATTTCTGGTTGTGCAGCTGTAAAACACAAAGATGTAGCTAGAGTAAGTTCCCCTGATGCCAGTATACTTGAAAGTCGTGTAATTCTCTTTTTGAAATTACTGCCTTAAATTATTCCAAGTAGAATTCATCATAATTTATTCATTTGGCATGTAGATTACGGTGCAGACCTGATAAAGAGAACTGACCAGGGACCCAAGAATTTGTTCTTCTTATCAGAAATTCTTCTTATCCACATAAGAGTTTGAGAATGAAAAATTGTCGGGGATAAACAGATTGTTCTTCACAACATAAATTTGCTACATCTGAGATCGACTAAAGCCGTCTTTACTGTTTTTGCGAGGGACCAGACTTTGGTCTCAGGTAAATCCGAGATTATCGTTTATATTCAGATTCTGCCATCCAGGGGTTTTCTAAATTTTTTGTTTAAAAAATATTTTTTTAAATGGTGTTATCTTGATGCATAACGTATTCTTCCATGTACGTATCCATACAGTCATGATGTAGTGGCTATGTATTGCATAGTGAAGATTTTATAAACAGTGTACGTTATATACTTTGTACTGTAATGTTTATAATTAAACGGAACACATATGTCAGGCTATATATTAGCTGCAAATTTCTTTGTTAATTTGATTTTGTTGATAGTCAAGAAAGCAGAAAGGACGGATCTGTTCGAGAACAAATATGGTGAAAACAGTATGGAATGCGGGTTCGGGGCTACATTGGGGGAATAGACCCGGTGTGTGGCCCATGCAACCCTGACGACCTTGTGGTAAAAGTCGACCAATCACGAGTGCATCTACCTCAGGGGTGAAGAACTGTCCGCATACAAATAAGCTAGAGCTGTAAAATGCGTGTGCATGCAACTCTGAGGTTTTGGGACAAGACTAAAGTGCAGAAGTGGACGAACAGCCAGAACTTTCCACCAGAGTCTACAGCCGGTGAATGTGGAGAAGAGCCAGATTTGTCCTTTTTTGTCTCCAGGCTTTTATGTGATGGTTCGACCACCCTAGAGTTACAACATCTTACAACATCTGATGTAACCTGCAGTTGTCCCCAGGAGACAAGTTGTGTGTTTACACCTGCTTGGGGGTGGGGTGGGGGGACACTACTTCCTAATAAGAATGTCATGAAGGCAACTTGTCAGATGCGTGCTAAAATTTGATGTGCTTGTCTGAAAGGAGTAGATATCATAGCCAATCTGTAATCCACTGTGCAGGATGCCAGCTACCCTCTAAGGAAAAACGAAAATGAAGAAGAAATTTGGATCAGACTAGCAGAGAATGTAGACACGTCTAAGTTAGTTAGTTAGTTAGCTAGCAAGCTAGTTAGTCAGCTAGGTAGTAAGTTAGTTAGCTAGTACGTTAGTTAGCTAGCTAGTAAGTTAGTTAGCTAGTCAGGTAGTTAGTTAGTTAGTAAGCTAGTTAGTTAGTTAGTAAGCTAGTTAGTTAGCTAGTTAGTTAGTTAGCTAGCTAGTGAGTTAGTTAGTTAGTTAGTCGACAGATTATCCTCACTGCACAGTGGATGAGTCCATAAGTGCTTGGATCCATTCAGCAAATCCCCCAGCAGGTGTCAACTAAAGACATCAGTTTTGTGTTGGTTTACTATTCTTCTCTGGCTACCTGTATAGTGTTCCTCTTTTGACCTAAAGTTCTTTTAGACTTTTGAGTGTTGCCAATTTACCATCGTCTCCTGAATCATCTTCTCATCTTGCTTCCTTGAAAATTTAAACATGTCTAACTGAACAGTTGATGTTAATGGCATCTATAATTATATATTAATGTTTAATTTGACCGTTAGTGAGTCACTTGGATTGGAATTGTTGTTTTCTTGTAATTAATTTGCCATTGTTGTCATTTTGATGTCTCTTCTTTCATTCAGCTTTTGATGCTGTCTTTTGGTGATAAGTTGTTTTTGTCTCTTCTTTCATTATGTTTTTGTTTGTTTCTGTGTTTTGTTATTTAGTGTTTTCCCCCCTTTTTCTGTTTACTGTCATGTTTTGTGGGCTGTCATTATTTATTCACTTGTATACTGTCATTAAGTTTTGGTTTTTCGTATACTGTCATGAAGTTGTTGTTTATGTATATACTGTCATTACATTGTTTGTTGGCTGTCATTACGTTGTATGTTCGCTGTCATTAATTTGATATGATCGATTCTTGATTGGTCACATAAATTTTAATAATAAAAATAGTCTTTCATGTTTTTTAAATTCTCATTTTTAATGAAAAAGTTGAGTTGCAAGTCGTTAATTACATGGCTTTGAGACAAGTCCAAGTCGCACACCTTGAATCCCAACCTCTGGTAGACAGAAGATGGGTGTTTCTTGTGAGGGAGTCTCCTCGGTGGAGTGTGTGCCTCATGATGTAAAGGTTTTGGGTTTAGTTTCAGTACAAAGTCTTCAGTACAGCTGGCAGTTCTTTGACTCCTAAAGTCCATGTTTTACATGCACACAGCAGCACGTTTATCGGCCTACAAATGGCAGTTCTTTGACTCCTAAAGTCCATGTTTTAACAGCAGCATGTTTGTCGGCCTACAAATGGCAGTTCTTTGACTCCTTAAGTCCATATTTTACATGCACACAGCAGCACGTTTGTCGGCCTACAAATGGCAGTTCTTTGACTCCTAAAGTCCATGTTTTACATGCACACAGCAGCACGTTTATCGGCCTACAAATGGCAGTTCTTTGACTCCTAAAGTCCATGTTTTAACAGCAGCATGTTTGTCGGCCTACAAATGGCAGTTCTTTGACTCCTAAAGTCCATGTTTTACATGCACACAGCAGCATTTTTGTCGGCCTACAAATGGCAGTTCTTTGACTCCTAAAGTCCATATTTTACATGCACACAGCAGCATGTTTGTCGGCCTACAAATGGCAGTTCTTTGACTCCTAAAGTCCATGTTTTACATGCACACAGCAGCACGTTTGTCGGCCTACAAATGGCAGTTCTTTGACTCCTAAAGTCCATGTTTTACATGCACACAGCAGCACGTTTGTCTGCCTACAAATGGCAGTTCTTTGACTCCTAAAGTCCATGTTTTACGTGCACACAGCAGCACGTTTATCGGCCTACAAATGGCAGTTCTTTGACTCCTAAAGTCCATGTTTTAACAGCAGCATGTTTGTCGGCCTACAAATGGCAGTTCTTTGACTCCTAAAGTCCATATTTTACATGCACACAGCAGCACGTTTGTCGGCCTACAAATGACATTTCTCTGACTCCTAAAGTCCATGTTTTACATGCATACAGCAAAAGGTTTATCGGCCTACAACTTGCAGTTCTTTGAATAGTGTGTTCTACCTCCTGCAGTAAGATATATATAATGGTTGATAGTGATTCAGATAGAAAGACAAAGAGGCATGTGTAGAACAAGACTTAGGGGAGGATAAACAGTTGCGAGCACCGAATTTTTTTGCACCGGTTTAAAAAAAAATCCCATTTCGCTTCGCGTGTCCCCACAGACCAGCTGGGCCGCTTGTCGACAGCGTCGCACAAAGTACTACATCTTAAGCTCCGGCGACGATGCCCCAGTTTCTAGTAGACACTGCAGTCGTGAACCGAACAACTCAGTACATAAAACGAACTCACAACCTTTAGTTAGAACATGAAGTAAACGAAGAAAGAGAAAATGAGGGAGAGTAGTGGGAAGGATGAAGATAAATGGGGATCTAAATGACGCACGTCGTGTGATGTGATAAGAGTAATTCTAGAACGATTATCGTTGCCAAGGGACGAGCAACCCAGCGCCCAAAGCCGGGGACAAGATTTAATTAAACAAAGATGGCGACTGGTCCGGCAGACGTGCCCAGGGGTAGGCAGACAATAGGACTTGGGACACGTCAGTCACTTCCTGGCATTTTCTCAGCGGCCTGTGGTTTCTTCCACAGTTGTCTCGCCTAAAGACATTACACACAAAAATCAAAGATCGCGGGAAATGTTTAAATAGCTTGTTTTGGTTAGAACAGAACAACGTACAAAAGTACAAGATTGACGATCTTAAACAACCTTTTCCTCGAGTTGAAGAATAATAACATACAGAGATGGTAAGACAAGGGCCCATTTACCCGCGATTATTTCTTCTTCTTTTTCTTCTTCTTCTTCTTCTTCTTCTTCTTCCTTCTTCCTTCTTCCTTTTTCTTCTTCTTCTTCTTCTTCTTCTTCTTCTTCTTCTTCTTCTTCTTCTTCTTCTTCTTCTTCTTTTGGAACTATTCACGAAAGTCATCCCGTCTTGTTCGCTTGCGAGATTTCGTGCCGGCTCCCATTCATGTCGTCCCAATTCACACGGAATGTCCTATGTTGTGGGGACGTAACGACGTGGCTTCTTTCGCCGTGTGTACACACCGTGTC